TCCAGCACCGGTAAAAAGCGGTGGAGAGCGAGGAACACTGCCAACAGGTCTAGGCGATTGATATGCCAATGCAGCTGGGCACCCTTCCAGAGGCCCGCAGCCGCATGCCCGCGACACACGGCCCCCCAACCCGTGTTGGAAGCGTCTGTTGAAACAACAACATGGCTGGACGCCTGTCCTAGAGGCACACCGGCCTGTAGGAACGAGGGGTCGTTCCAAGGGCTGAGGGCGCGGCGACACAGCGCAGTAACCGAGACCCGGTGTGTGCCCGCGTGCCATGCGCGTCTGGGGACCCGATCGTGAAGCCAGTGCTGAAGTGGTCTCATATGGAGCAACCCGAGCGGCGTGACGGCGGCTGCGGATGCCATATGCCCCAGGAGCCTCTGAAAGAACTTCAGTGGGACCACTAGTTTGCTGTCGAGCTCCCTCAGACAGTTCAGCAACAGGCGAGCGCGTTCCTCGGAGAGGTGCGCTACCATGGTGATCGAGTCCAGCTCCATCCCGAGAAAAGAAATCCTCTGCACGGGGGCGAGTTTGCTCTTTTCTCGGTTGACCTGAAGCCCCAGTAGGCGGAGATGCCGAAGCACCTCGTCCCTGTGCATAATCAATTGCTCCCGCGAGTGGGCTAAAATCAGCCAGTCGTCGAGATAATTGAGTATGCGAATGCCCGCGAGCCGAAGGGGCGCTAGGGCACCCTCCGCGAGTTTGGTGAAGACCCGCGGAGACAGAGAGAGCCCGAAGGGGAGGACCTTGTACTGCCACGCTCGACCCTCGAACGCAAACCGCAGAAATTGGCGGTGGCGTGGAAGAATGGAGACATGGAAATACGCGTCCTTCAGGTCTATGGCTGCAAACCAATCCCGAGGACGAACGCATTGGAGAATGCGCCTCTGCGTGAGCATTCTGAACGGCAGCTTGTGCAGACAGCGGTTCAAAACGCGCAGATCTAGGATTGGCCGTGACCCACCGCTCTTTTTGGGTACGATGAAGTATGGGCTGTAAAACCCACTCTCCATCTCGGCTGGAGGAACCGGCTCGATTGCACCCTTCGCCAGGAGGGCAGCAATCTCCTCTCGCAAGACAGGGGCGGACAGGGGGTTGACCCTGGAGAAATACACGCCCGTAAACTTGGGGGGCCGTTTCACGAACTGAATCGCGTAACCGAGTCTGATTGTGCGTATGAGCCACCGCGAGGGGCTGGCCCGCGCTAACCAGGCAGGCAGAGCCCTCGCTAATGGAGTCATCGCTACAATCGCTGACGTACCAGCGGTGGGGCAGCGCGGAGTGGGTGTGCTGATCCGGGAAGCACGAGGGTCCCGCGGAAAAGCTGGAGGAGAGCGATTCGCTCTGGCTCCGCACCCTGACTCCGGAGAGGGGGCTGGAGGGCTGAGGGAAGGGAGACCGTCCCCCCAGCGCTCGTGAGCCACTGGCGAAGCACGTAGAGTCTGCGAGCCGGAAGGCAGCGCGTCCCGGACTGGCAGAACTCGTGCAGTCACATCCGGGGAAGGGAAAAAGTGCTCTTTTACTGATGTTTTGGTGGCACTGAAAAGTACCGTTGTTATCGGGGCCCCGCCCTCCAGCGGGGAAAGAGCAAGTTTCCTCTTCTCCGGATGGCCTGTCTCAGGGACGCTTCGCGGTCCGTTTACCGGCTTTAACGGCGCCCTGGGCAGGAGGGGCTGCCTGCTTTCGAGGTGAACGCCGCGCCCGCTTGGCCAGAGGCGCAGGCGGGGGCGGGGCAGCACTCGTTGGCGGGCGCCCTCGGCGAGGAACAGCGGAGGTGGATGGCTCGGCGGGCGGAGCGGGCTTACGGCCACGCCGATAGATGACATTGCCCATCGCATCCGACTGCTCTTTCACCGCCTTGAATTCCTGGGTGAATTCACCGACGGTGTCGCCGAACAGGCCAGCCTGGGATATGGGCGAGTCAAGAAAGCGAACTTTGTCAACGTCGCGCATATCGGCCAGGTTTAGCCAGAGGTGGCGTTCCTGAACCACAAGTGTGGACATCGTCCTCCCCAGCGCACACGCGGCGGACTTAGTAGTCCGAAGAGCATAGTCGGTCGCGGTGCGCAGCTCATGTAATAAGCTTGGGTTGGACCCGCCCTCGTGCAGCTCGGCCAGCGCCTGCGCTTGGTAGCGCTGGTAGGTGGCCATCGCGTGCAAAGCAGAAGCAGCCTGGCCCGCAGCCTTATAAGCTCTGGCTCCGAGGGAGGCAGACAACCTACAGGCTTTGGACGGGAGGCGGGGCAAACCCCGCCACGTAGAGGCGCCGCGCGGACAAAGATTGACCGCGATAGCGCGCTCCACTGACGGGATCGCCTCATACCCCCTGGCAGCTCCGCCGTCAAGGGCGGTGAGGGCGGAGGCACTCGCAGCACGGGCAGAGAAAGGTGCCCTCCAGGACTGCGTGAGCCTACTGTGCACTTCCGGGAAGAAGGGGACGAGAGGCTTCGAAGGCTTCGCCTTCTGGTCCTCTACGTAGCACCCATCTAGTCGGTCCGGCCGCGGAGCTGGGGGATAAACCATCTCCAACCCCACGGCCGAAGCAGCCCGGGAAAGCACGGCTAACATGTCCGCTTCAGGATCCGATTTGACAGCGCTCACCTGCCCGGAGGGGGCGAGCGGGTCCGGATCTTCGTCGGACAGTGAAAGCCCACCCTCCGATGCCGCGGAGGACATCTGATCTCCGGTGTCAGCGAGTGTGAGAGCTACCATCTGGTTAGATGGATCACTCTCACCACCCGAAGCTTGGATGGAGCGCCGTGAGGAGCGAGAGGTCCGCGAGCCCGTGGGCGGCGGATTAGCTCCCGCTGAAACCCTCAGATCTGCCCGAGCGCCCGCTGCTTTTTTAGAACAGGAGGCAACTGGGGTGGCTCGCTCTCTTGCGAAAGTTAGCCGCGATCTTAGCTGTGCAACGGTCATGGCATCGCAATGACGACATGAACCGCCCGCGAGCACCGCATTAACATGCTGGACCCCCAAACATGCAATGCAGTGATCGTGTCCATCATCCGGAGACAGGAAACCCCCGCATCCAGAAACGCACAGTCGGAGCGCCATCCTGAAAAGGACGTGCTGCACGACTGTGTTGCTCTTTTAGGAAAGTTGCAACTATACGCACCGCTCTGGAGGACCGGACCCAAAGAACCGCAGGCAAGGGAGTAACCCAGCTCGACCGTCTGCCACCGCAAAGACCCACTCTGGACCGGGAGACACACTCGTTCGCTCTGAAGTGCTGATCAGCAAGAGGAACCCTCATCGACTCACTCAGAAAGGATCTGAAGCGAAAAGGATGGCGTCTGCTGGCTTCAGGTGTGCTTATATGCTGAGATAATTGCAGATGTCGCACACCTGCGCAAGCTTACGCTGCCAATTAATTTCATTCATTGGCCCGTTCAATACTCTCCAGATAAGCGGCTTCTGATCCGAATCCTCCCATTCATGGCACTGAAGTTCCCCAACCGAAGGGGAACTACCTTCCTGCAGATTTCAGTTGCTATCCATATCAAACACACCTAAACCAATTAATTAGGACCTGAACACCACGTGATAATTACAGGCAGGTGTGTTTGATATGGGTAGCAACTGAAATCTGCAGGAACGTAGATCTCAAGGAACAGGATTGAGCACCCCTGCTATATACCATGGGGGTCAAACTCCAAGTTCCAAGTACCCACCCTGCTTCAACATTACCTGTAGATTTCTAACAAGCCTTACTTAGTTTGATCAGGTGTGTTTAATTAGAGTTACAGCTTAAAGTCCCGGGCACACTGCACTTTTCTTCCTATAGACTTCCATTCGTACGCATGTGAATGCTGCAAACCTGGAATGGTAGCTCATGCGACAAATTTCATAATTCGCAGCATTGGAAAGTTCAAGCTTGGAGAACGCTGAACGCGAAATCACATCATGTGATTGCTTGAGACCAATCAAAGATCAAAACATGACCTCTCTGGCTTGCTTTTTCAATCTCTAATTATTTTGTTTAATTCAACTTCTTGCTTTGTTTAATTCCACTTCGCAGTGCAGTATGACAGAATCTTGCATGCTCAAACGCTAGTGTGACCGCAGCTATACTGTGCAGACCTGTAATATGTAAGACAATATTTATATCTGCTGATTTCTTAATTTTGTTATACATTTTCTGTTATTTATTTGTTTGGTGCCAAAACAATAAAATAAATTTGTCTAAAAAATTTTATGCCTTCTATTTTTAAATAACAGCTAAGAATACTGATTAATTTTAGTAACACTACAATAACTATATATGACATACTATTAATGTGTATGCAGTATAATGCTGTGATTTGTAACGCTACAATACAGTAATTAACTGTACACAGTTTCCAGTTAGTCACCACTGCTGCTCTTACAGTAATTAACTGGCAACACTGTTGCCAGCTACTCACTGTATCGGTTCAGTTACAGTAAATAACTGGCAACACTGTTGCCAGCCACTCACTGTAATGGTTCAGTTACAGTAATTAACTGGCAACACTGTTATGTACTGTGCAAATTATGTACTGTAATTAATCTAAAACTAAATAAATATAAATTTAAACACGTTTATACAAGTAAATAAATAGATTCAATAATGGGGTTAAAATCTGCGGAAATATGTAGATTTCTGCACACGCAGATTCCCTGTGAGCCTACATATTATCATAGATTACCATCATAGATCTCAAATTAGATTCCTGCAGGGCCGCAGCTATGAACAGTTTTGTTCCAAGCCTAATCAAGCATAGCTGATCCAACTAATCAAGGTGTTGAAGACTACTAGAGACTATTAAGCAGGTGTGAGTTGGAGCTGTTTGGATCTAAACTGCTCAGAGCTGCGGCCCTCCAGGAATTGAGTTTGACCACTGCCATAGATGATAAATATCGCATACTTTCAGATCAAAGGAAATAAAAAATCTACCTAAATATTTTTCAAAATACCAAACAGGTTAACTTTGCTAAAGATGTGCATATATGCAGCTCCAGTGTAATATTTATACCTGTATTTTTCCCAGGGCAGAGAGCACAATCGTTGCCCCAGGCCTCTCCATACAAACAGCAGCACTCTGTGAATGAGGTGTGTATGTTGGGGATAGGATTTGCGCAGGAGAAGTTTTCAGTTACTCTCTCCCAGCAAACCCCTGAGTATAAGTCAGCTTCACTTTGCCCTGTAAAACACAAACATGCTTGATATGATCTCTGTTAAGCAAACGTCAGCTACTTCATACTGAAAAAATGCTTGTTATGTAAGATGGTTGGAAAAAAAATCTGTAAAAACATGGATTTCCTCCATCCTAAAAAGACAAACAACAACAACAACAACACAATGCTTCATATAATTCAAAATATGGGCAAAACAACAGAAATGGAAATTTCTTCCACATATTTTAAAATTAGTTTCACATAATTTTGACCTTGCTGTCAACTAATGATAGTACTGTAACTGTAGTATTAATGAACCAAAGCTTCTAATGTATTCCTCATATTATATTCAGTTATAAATTTAAATTCTATTTGTCACATACACAGTCAAACACGATATGATATGCAGTAAAATGCTTACACAACCAGTCGTGACCTTAAAAAATAGCAATAATAACAAAAGTAATAATAATAATAATAATAATAATAATAATAATAATAATAATAATAACAACAACAACAACAAGAATCTAAATTCTGATGAAAATAAGCTATGCAATAGAAAATAAAAGCAAATATTTAACATTTAAAGACTTTTGATAAAGAGTATGTGGCTGTAGAAAAATAGTACAGTCTGAAAGAAATAGCTTGTTCTGAGCATCCTCTAGATGGCAGTATGACATTGTTAGGAATTTCACTTTGTACAATTGAGGGGTTTAGAGGACACACTATAGGTTTGAGAGAGTTTAGATTTTAAAGGATTAAGAGCTCCTCAAGGAACCCCAACAAATACAGATTTTAGGTGTCTCACTAATCTGACACACTCAATTCAGGTCATGGAGACTTTCCTAATAAGCTAATTAGCCCGATAAGATGATAGATATGGGGAACATCCAAAATGTGAGGTGTTGGAGGTCTCCAGGATTGTGATTTAGAAACAGTCTTTAAGGAGTAGAATTTACATGCAGGATTATCATCTGCATAATATTTGACGTAAGACTTTACCTGCTACGTCGGGTAATATGCAGTGTGTGTTGTCCATTGCCAGAACCATAGGAGGGGTGCAGAAACACTGATATGAGCCATATGTGTTCATGCATTCACCATCTCTACATTTTGCCTCATCTTGGCATTCATCAGTGTCTGTAGAGATCAGAGACAAAGAGAAACAGAAAAAAAAATCAATAAGCTAGATCATTGATGGAAAGCTAAGTCAGGCTGGTCTGAGTATACATAGAATACAGTAGATGCAAAAACATTCACCAACATAAAGCAATTTGCCATAAAGACAATGCATTCATTAAATAAATACTAAAGTCCTTTCTGCAGAGTAACTATAGAATTAAGTACAAACTAAAATGATTGCAAACATGTTATAAGTACAGTTTTACTGTCGAAAGGGAAAGGCTTGGTTTAAGGTTAGGTAGCTTGTAATTATGCATAATGTACAAATATTTCAATATTTACTCCAGGTATTATAACTTTATTATGTTTTATAGGGAGCAGTATTTTAGTTACATGATGTTTCAGCAAGTAATTAAAGTGGGTTGCACAATCGCCTCACAGCAAGAAGGTTGCTGGATTGAGCCTCGGCTGGTTAAGTTGGCATTTATGTATGGAGTTTGCATGTTCTGCCCTTGTTTGCGTGGGTTTCCTCTAGGTGCTCTGGTTTCCCCCAGACGCCAAAGACATGCGGTATAGGTGAATTGGGTAAGCTAAAATTGTTCGTAGTGTATGTGTTAATGTGAGTGCATGAGTGTTAATGACGTTAATTGAATAAACTAAATTAGTGTATGTGTGTCAGTAGTGCGTTATAACTGGAAGGGCATCCGCTTTGTAAAACATGTGCTGTTTAAGTTGGCAGTTCATTCCACTGTGGTGACCCTGGATTAATAAAGAGACTAAGAAAGTTAATAAATATTTTGTTTTAAACTTCAGAAAATTTAGCACACTGAAAAAAAATATTCAAAGATGATTCCTTGGATTTACTAAAAAATTTTTGCGTTAAGTGGTTGTAAACAATTTATTTGTGTTGAATTTGAGAAAAAAAAATTAAGTTGAACATTATTAAACTTAATTTGTTTGTTTATATTCAACACAAATAAATTGTTTGCAACAGTTGTGCATGCAAAACTTTTTTCAGTGCATGTTTGTGTTATACTTGTGAAGGCTCAAAGGTTCTCACTTGTAAAGCGAAAGTAAAATTAAAGTGATTTTGAAAGTGGAATTAAAATGACCCACTAGTAAGGACATTTCACAGGTTTTTTACTATTTAAAAAGGCTTGTGATTCAGCCAAAATATTTTTTTTTCTATTGGTTTCTAATGATTGGCATTTGTTGGGGTTGTGGTAGGCCATAGGCAATATCATTAACCTGATTTAAAAACAATGGAAGCCTATGTATTGCTTTCGAATCAAACCTCTTTCTTTCCCTTTCTCTCCCTCTCTTTGTGCATGGTTTACAGTTCAAATGTGTTCATATATATGTAAGTGGGTGTAGGAAGTCAAATGACTGTGGCTGCACTGAATGTGTGTGTGTGTGAGGCAGTCAGGGGTGTGTCAGCTTTAAGGCAGTGTGGCTGGGCAAGTCTCCATAGCCGTGGGTCTGTGGTCTCTGTGAGTGAGTGTGTGTATGTGTGTTTAGGCAGGCAGACAGCCTGCGGTGCACCATGGAGCTGCGGCCTGGATCATATCGCCTGTGCCGCCCTGACCGGTCGCAAGATGTAGCCCTTTGACCTCAGCTCAAACATACACAGAACCTGCCATACGGCTGCATGCATAATGTGGCCGCAAGCCACACGCCGTCAGCTGCAGCGCCTTTAAAACTTACATTTAAATCCAATTTAAATGTGTTGGCGTTACAGTGAGCCAAACTAGGCCAACACTTACAAACACGCACACACACACTTACAAACTAAGCCTGTCATTCTAAACCAACAAAAGAACACAATGACAGTTCAAGGCTAAACATTACAAGCAATAAGCGGCTAAAGCAGGATGTTATAAATAACAAACCCTTCTGTGATTAAGTGCTAGCCTTTCTAAGAATATGTGGAATAAAATTAAACACTTAAAACATAGTTTTGTATTTTTGCATCAGCTTGCATCAGACTGATTTAATTTGTGCATCCTTGAGAACAGAGCAGTGATTTAGTTTGTGCATCACAATGAGCAACACTGTGATATTATATGTAATATTCAGTAATTACATTTATGGCAGTTTAACATTGTTTGGGCACCTTGTTTAGACAGGCATAACAGATCATTTTAGCTAATTTAACTCTAATCAGATTTTTCATCATTTAAATATGCAAAAACTCATTTTATATGATTTAAAATACCATCAAATGTGACTTTTGTTAATGTTTTTTTTATATGAATTATTAGATCAAGGATTTTCTATTGCAAAAACCACAACTTACAGTATGTTCTTCTTAACAGGAATTCATTTTCTTTCGGCTTAGTACCTTTATTCATCAGGGGTCGCCTCAGCGGAATGAACTGCTAACTTATCCAGCATACGTTTTACACAGTAGATGCCCTTTCAGCTGCAACCCAACACTGGGAAGCACTCAGCAGGAATTAAAAGTCATAAAATCTTAATGAACATTTTTGTTTAGACTGCGATTTTTGTTTCTTACCGAGACACTGTAGTTTGCTCTCATCGTAGTAGAGTCCAGATTTGCAATAACACTCATACCAGCCAGCGGTGTTGAGACAAAAGCCATCTTTACAGATCTCACTTCCAAAGAGCTGGCATTCATCTGCATCTGCTTAACACACACATCAACACTTTTTCATTATTTAATTGTAAACAAATAAACACACACGCACGCACGCACGCACATACACTAGTTAAGAACTAGAAACCCTGGATCACAGTTACAGATCACCACACATACAGTCTCTCCATGCTCTTGTTAGTGTTCTTATTTTGGGATCTGCTACATGTAGAAATTTCATTTGACTGAAGAATGATTGGGAGGAAATGTCCTTTCCATATATAAGCATTCCATTCAAAGGTACACTGACACACACACACAAACCACATTGCATTCACTCGCACTGCCACCAGCCAAAGAGAAACCACACTCTTGCTGCATTCATAAATTAAATCAGTGCATTAGACGAGCCCTGAGACTGAGGTTTCCCCACACTGGGAACCAGCCTGCTGAGTGTGTGTGTTTCAGCATATGTAGGTCAGATGCTAAGTGATGTCTGCTGCTGCCTACACACATTACAAAGTCAAAAATACATTCATCGGCCACTTTGTTAGGTATACCTTTCTTGTACGGTACCTGGATTGACCCGCTTTTGTCATTAGAAATCTTAAAAGAATAGTTTGCTCAAAAACTGAAAATATTTGGATGAAAAATAGAGTTTTCATAGTATTATTTTCCATTTATTTATTTTTTTTTTACTATGGAAGGCAATGGTAACAGGTTTCCAGCTTTCTTTAAAATATTCTTTTGTGTTCGCCAGAAGAAAGAAACTCACAAATGTTTGGAACAACTTGAGGACAAGTAAATAGGGTAAACTATTCCTTTAAAGTGGTGAAAATATTCTTCTGAGATTTCTGTCAATATTTACATGGCATTACCAAGCAGTTGTAAAAGATTAAAAAATAGCATGTTATCCTGTCTTAGAAGTAGCCATCACACAATTCAAACAAGGCCCAAGGTGTGCCATTAAAATATCCGCACACACAGCAAATTCATTGGTGTTAAATTTCAAGTGTTGTGGTAATTCAGAGTAAAGTGTTAAAATTCTAGAGTTAGATAAAGGTAAACTAACCCTCTTGGCGTAAGAAGCTAATTTGCCTTCTTGTTACACAGAGTAACATGTATCTACCTTTGTAGAAAACCCTTGTATTTGAGAAACTAATCAGAGTGTCTGAAATCTCGCCACACCCTCATTCACCTGGCCCTTAAATTGATCAATTAGTTTAGTCCACTAGACAGAGCGAATGACCACAAATAAGTGAATTCAGACACCTGCTGTTGAACACCTGCTGTTAACAAGCACAATCACTAAAGGAATAAGAAATTAAAGGAAGAAATAAATCTACAGACGCAGCCTCACACCAAACCAGCTGAATTAAAACAGAGGATTAAACAACTCCATTAAATAATAGCATAAGCAGCTTCACTGATTACAGTTTGACTTAATTTCTGTAAGAATATTTGACAATGAACAGAGGTTATATTTTTTTTATTAAAAATATTTCATTTGACCTCACCATCATAGAGATCAGAGGCTGCTTATTTGAGTTCCTAAAGCTTTACTCTTATATCCTAATGTTTCTCTGACTGCTATAGCTGTGTTTCTAAAACTCATTAGCTATAGCAAGAAAGGTCAAGAGAAACTATACTGTTAATGCTTAGTTGTTATAGATTTAATTTCAGGTGTTTATTAAGTTGATTCATAAAGACATGCAAATATAGTTGAATTAAAGCTGCATAGGACAATACTACTGGCAGTCTGCTGCTCTTCATAGAAAATTCAACAAACAATTAGGATGCAATTAATAATTAGAGTGTCATGCACTAAACAGTCAAGCTCCAGCTTGCTCTTTATGACACACAGGCATCAAGAATCAGGACATGAACCTCAACCGTGGTTGCTAAAAAAAAAAAAAAGCTGCATAGTTCATGCCGCAATGCATGCTGGGTGCCAGCATAGTACAAAGCTCCCAGCATGCATTGCAGCATGAATAAATTATGCAGCTTTATGTTCTTACAATCTCTTTTCTTTTATTTTGTGTTGTTTTTGGGAGGTGATATTTCAGTAGTGTTTTATTTTTTTGTTTGTCACCATCATTGAGATTCAAAGACTAATTGTTGATGTCTGTGTGTTTTTTAGTTCTGCCATAGATCAAACATTCTCATTGTAAATATTGTTTTATTTTATTGGAGCTTCAGTGGTTTCATTTATGTATATTATTTATTTCTCACACATAACTAATATGATATTGAATTAAAAAACAAGCAGGAAAGGATGGCTATGTTATCATTAATAATCTCTTCAGACTGACAGTTTAATTTTCTTTCAGCTTTCCATGCTATATATTTAAATAGTGTAATTAACACTATCCATAGCAGCCAAAATATAAGACATTTATAGTAAGAAGTTGAAGAGGCTGACTAAAGCAGACTCTGTCCTCTATCATGGTGACTTCAAATGAACAACAGAAATTTCATTGAGTTTTTGTTCACATGACAGAAATAAAGTCACTGGTCAGTAATAGGTGAAGCTCCATGATAAGTTGTTTAATTTGATGAGTTTTTTTTAAAGATGTTGAAAAATAACATTTTTTATTGGGTAATTTGTTTTATTTTTATGGATTATTATTTTATTTAGAGGTTTTTTTTTCTCAGTTGATTTCATCTTTGGTTTTGGCTTGTGTTTTTCTGTCCTTCAGTGATTCTGCTTGTTAACAGTTGTTCATCAACAATTCTCAATCCTCTTTTAGTTAGACACTTAATTGTCTAATTAACTTCATCACTGTCTGAGTGTTCAGCCCTCTGTAGTGAGGACACTAGTTAGGATTTTGCTCTGGAATTTAAGGCTTACGTGTGTTCGAATGAAAAATACAGTCAATGGGATTTGTTTTTAACAGAAATATTCTGGAAACTGAATTTACGAATCTAAAATGTTGAAAACAGCAGATTACTGGCAACCACTGCTCCCAGTATTTTGACATACATTTAACAGATATTTTACACAATAAGAGTTTGCTAATTAACACTCTGGGTGTTAAAAATTTTAACACTTTCAAAAATGTTATTTTAACACTTATAGTGGTTCCCATATAAACACTGAGGGAGTGTTAATTTTAACTCTAAGGTAGTTAAATCTACCAAATCTAAAATTTGCAGTGTGAGATCGATAAAAAATACAGACTGTTGAATGTGTTTTTAACAGAAATATTCTGTAAACTGAATTTATGAATGTGAAAAACAGCAGATTACTGGCAACCACTGCTGCTGGTATTTTTCCGTAAAATCTAAAAATGAAAAAAAAGAAAGAAAAACAGCAAAACGGTTTTTGTGTCACCATTGTGGAGGATAATAGCGTCTCTGTTCAAGTCTAAGATGAACTGGGAAAATTTGATGTTATGCTGCATCTTCTTTTGTTTAAAGGTAACTGTGTAGTTACTAATGCTGTCAAAATCTGTTTGCTAATTGCAATCAAACATGAAAACATTATTGCATCTAAAGACTTTACATTTTTTTGCACTAAGCTGTGATTTTGTAAAATGAACAATGTATTAGTTCATGAAATATGGTTATATTTTGTAAATTTATACAGTTATATAAAACTTTCATGTTTTTCACAAAAAGGTTCTGGCAACCACAGCTGCTGGTATTTTTTCGGAAATTTAACAGATATTTTACACAATAAGAGTTTGCTAATTAACACTCTCTTGGTGTTGACAATGTTAACACTTTCAAAAGTGTTATTTTTAACACTTATAGTGGTTCCCATATAAACTCTGAGGGAGTGTTAATTTTAACTCCAAGGTAGTTAAATCTACTATCTAAAATTTGCTGTGCACCATTATACAGATGCTACCATCCAAATGTTCCAGCAAAAAATGTGAGACTCATCAGAAAATGCAATCCAATATTCAGATGTCTAATTCAGCTGACAGGAGAGACATTGATGGTTTTCTTCGTCTGCTAAAGCTCATTCTCGTTCTACCATCCAACGGGTTGTGTATTCAGACCTGCTTTTTCAAAGAAATTTGAATTATTGGCACATTTCTATCAGCTGAAATAGTCTCTCCATTCTACTGTCACTTTTGGTATCAACAGGGCATTTTTGCCCAGACAAAATATGGAGTAAATAGGGTAAAAGTATAAAGCACATCAACAATCAAAGTTAAAGCCTTGAGCGAGAGTTCTCCAAAACAGAAAGCATCATTTACTGAACCCATACTCTGAACCATATTTGTGTACCTTTGACATTTAAATCCTTTTAAATGACATAAACACTAATAATACCTTTGGTGTTTTCTGCTAAGCTGGAGGTAGTACTCATAGGATCTCCAGAAATCAGGTAACCCCGGCCTGCTGGACACATCTGTGAGAACTGATCTGTAAAGAAAAGTGTCAGTAGTTAAGGCAGAAAATGTTTTTTTAATAATTTTTTTATTATGTTGACTACTATTTGTAAGGGCAAGATAGACTTTTATTAAATGTGAGAAAGCTTATTCAATACATTTCTAAACATAATAGTTTGAATAGCTCATTTCTAATAACTGATTTATTTGATCTTTGCCATGATGACAGTAAATAATATTTGACTAGATATTTTTTAAGACATTTCTTAAAAGTGACATTTAAAGGCTTAACTAGGTTAATTAGGTAAACTAGGTAAGTCAGGGTAACAAGGCAAGATTTTGTATGATGATGGTTTGTTCTGTCGACTATCGAAAAAAATATAGCTTAAAGGGGCTAATAATTTTTACATGAAAAGGATTTTTAAAAAATAAAAACTGCTTTTATTCTAGCCGAAATAAAACAAAGAAGTCTTTCTCCAGAAAAAGAAATATGTTCAGAGATACTGTGAAAAATTTCTTGCTCTGTTAAACATCATTTGGGAAATATTTAAAAAGAAAAAAAACATTCAAAGGGGGGCTAACAATTCTGACTTCAACTTCTGTCTAAGTTTAAGCAATAACCAGAGACAGATGCATAATGCACGACACGCATGCACATCATGCTCTCTTGGGTATAAAGGTGAAAAATGTTGGCTTATGATTTTGTGACATTTGTATATTAGAGTAAGTGTTTAAAATATCTCTGTGTCTTTTATTACTTTTCCATACTTTTAATTTCCTAAATAAAATGTTAATTTCTTTCTTTCTGGCTTATCAATTCAAGTTAACATAATAATCTACATCAAATGAACCAGCTCAGTGGATAAAATTCAAATAATTATAATAGGGTAAGGATTTTTCACTATATTCAAGTTTAATGGTCCATGATTTCTAAATATCTGTGCAAAAGTGTTTTTGCATTTGAAATATTCTTTTACAATATGCTAATTAAAATTATGCTGTCTTTCCACATTAAAAGAAATAGTTCATCCAATTAGAATCAGATCAACTGATTTACTCCCAAGAATCAACTCCCAAGATTTACTCCCAAGAATCAACTCAAAATATTTTTCATTTCATTTGTTCATAATTACTCAAGTAAATACAGTAGAACAAGCTTTTTCTCTAGGGTTAGTTTCCGAATCAGACGTCAACAGAGCAATTACATCTCTTAAATCATCCAGAGCAAAAGATATATTTGGGATGGATGTGATACTTTTAAAAAACATTAGTGAGTCTTTAGTAAAGCCGATCACCAAAATTATTAATCTGTCCATTTCTCAGGGGATGTTCCCCAGTGCTTGGAAATCATCTGTCATTGTGCCTATATTTAAAAGTGGCGATCCACACTCTTCAAGTAATTACAGACCTATCAGTATTTTACCTATAGTTTCAAAGATTGCAGAAAAACTGATAGCCACACAAATTACAAATTACTTAAATAATAGTTCTTTTGCTTTACATCCATTGCAGTTTGGCTTCAGAGCAAACTACTCAAGTGAGATGGCAAATTGCCACTTTACTGAAAAAGTAAAGTCTTTATTAGATAAGGGGGGTATCGTTGGGGCTGTGTTTCTTGATTTTAGGAAGGCTTTTGACACTGTAAATCATAGAATTCTCATGTCCAAATTAGTTGGTTTTAACTTCTCACCACAAACTTTAAAATGGATAGAATCTTACTTGTCTGGTCGCACACAGTGTGTTAATATACAAAATTACAAATCTGCCCCTCTAGGTATATCCACAGGTGTTCCACAAGGATCTATTTTGGGCCCTTTACTTTTTACTTTATATATCAATGATCTCCCATCTATGTGTCCTAACAATAACATACAAATGTATGCGGATGACACTGTTATGTTTATTCATGGTAGTAGTGTGTTACAAGTTGCAGACAGACTCACAGAATCACTGGTACATCTTTTAGCCTGGTTAGATCAATGCTGTTTACAGTTGAACATCTCTAAAACCGTGTGTATGTTTTTTTCTAAGAATGGTAGGCTAAGTGTAGTACCAGATGTATTTGTATCAGGGGAAAGATTACAAGTTGTATCTGAGTACAAGTACCTTGGAGTTTTAATAGATTCAAAACTATCATTTCAGTCTCAGGTTAAAAAGGTTTGTAACCGGGTCAGATTCAGTTTAGCAAATTTTAGATTTATTCGTGATCAGATGTCATGTGAGGCTGCTCTAATCTATTATCACTCCATGATCATTTCTCACATCACTTATTGTTTAACCACTTGGTCCCAAGCCAGCATCACCACCCTGAAGCCACTTAAATCTTTATACAAACAATCCATAAAAACCCTTGATAAGAAATCAGTTCAATATCACCATTGTTTAATATTAAAGAAATACAACCTGCTTAGTTGGGAAAATTTAATTACATATGTACATATCTGTTTAATGTTTAAGACTTTACATAACCCGACTTCACCATTAAATCAGTTTATAAATATTAGAACGACTGCTCACCGAACTACTAGAGGAGGTGACAGAGGAGACTGCATTATTCCTCTCAAAAAAAGCAAATTCAGTCAATCTGTATTTTCAGTGAGAGCTGCTAGGGAATGGAACTCCATCCCACCAACAATTAGAAGATCATGCACTTTTCGTTCTTTTCAGTCTCACGTTAGAAATTGGTTATTGACAAATCAGCATTGTCAGCATTAGTACTGTATTCTTGACACATTTGTACTGTTGTCTTTGGCTTTTTGTCCTCTGCTCCCATCAGTCTGTTCTTTTTTTGTTTTCTTTTTTTTCTTTTCTTTACTTTTTTAACTGTATTTCTTATGAAAGTGTATTTAATGTTTAATGTTGTGCTTCTATTTTAGGTGTGACTTTTTAACATTCTGTAAAGGGTCTACGGATGAAAAATAGCCATTCTTGGCTAATTCTGGCACATTTTACAGTAATGTTTATTAATGTGCATTGACCCTGTAAACAAATAAACTAAACTAAACTAAACTAAACTAACCAAGTGAACAATGTGAATAAATATAGGTGCATAAGTGTTCTTACAGTTCCTACTTTGAGTTTATTTACTTCAATTTGGTATTTTTCAAGTTCTCCTCATTACATTATTTCAAAAGGTATTTAAGAGGTAAAAACTAAAAAGTATGTTCTACTATCAACTTATACATATAACTTATAACTAATACTAACTTATTCGCTGAAAAGAATCATGTCAAAATAATGGTTTGTTGACCTCAGGTTCAACTCAGAGAGCGTCTTATCTACACAAGTGTTCCTACAGTTGTCTGTGCTCTACTTCATTAGACTGTCATGTTGTGATTTGTGTAGCTCAGTACCTGTTCCCGGTATGGGGCAGGGATGGACCTCACAGTTGTCTCCCCATCCTGCTCCCAGTGTACAGCAGCACTCCTCTTTAGTCATGCTGCTGGCCAGAACCTTATCACAAAGGTTTTCATCATTCAGGTTGAAGTAACACTCTTTCCTCTCAACCGTTGTGACTACGGGAAACAAGACAACAAATCGAGCGACACAATTTTTTTTTTTTTTTCAATTTAAAATATTCATACATACATTTTCAATTATGTTTTGTGTGACAAAACAATCTAAAAACATAAGACAGAATTAACATAAACAATTTAGAAAGAAAATAAATATATATTTCACTGCAATGATGAAATGAAGAATACCCAAAGAACCAAGGTCAAGAACACAGTAGAAACTGTGCACGTCACCAGAGAGCAGTTTTACAGTTCAGCCTTGGATTTTCAGACACAGAGTTTTTTATGATTTCCAGATAATTCATATTCCAAACTATTGCAATTCTAGCTTTACAGTGTCCTACTGTCGTCCTTACATGTAAAAAGCAAGATTTACAGCTCTGGTAAGAGATACCAGGGCACTTCTAGTAAAAATAACAAAAAAATAATATTTGAACTCAGGAGACATTGCGGTTTTATGGGGAAGAAGGATTAGGAGGGTGGATTTGAACAAAAGTCCTTAACCAAAACAGCTGGCTAAGATCTAAGGAGACGCTTCCTGTTACTTGATCTTCCAAGCACAGCTGGTATGTAGCCACTCACACTATATATATTCCAAACTGCATTGTGCTTAAATTTATTTTTGGCAGTTTTACCATGTCTTTTTAAATGTAGCACTAGATGGCAAATCCCAGTCCTTAAATTTGACCCTGTTTTCAAACCTGTTCTCCTCTCTGTTCCACTTGTTTAACAGATGAATAAAACACATACTAGACTTGCTTTCATAGTATTTCACTTTTACTTAGCAAATTCTACTAAACTTGTCCTTAACTTTTACCAATCCTTGCTTAAACTCAACTTGTTCAACTAACTTGATCACCTAACCAACCCTAAAACCTGCCCATACCATTAAATCTCTTTCTAACTTTAACCAACCATTTAGGAGCTGTTCACACAAATGAGTTTTCTGTATTAAAGCGCACACAATAAGTCAGGTTTACACCTGCCATACACACTACTCTTACATCTTGGGTCTACAGAAATTGAGCATTTTGAAATAGCTAAAGAGCATGTTTTAGTTTGGAAATGATGGTGTTTCCTTTCAGTGTAGATGGACTGAAACACAAACTTCTGAAACTGAGGTGCAGCTATCTTTAATTAAAAACTCTGATTCGACTTTTGAGTATCGTTCCTTGATTCTTTGATCTCCTCTCATAAGAACAATACACAAGCAGAAGATGGCAAGTATGTAAGCTGCAATATGTGTGCATTCCGAATGAGCATGAATGGTCATGTATAATATGTTTAGGCTGTAAAGCATGGATGGATATTTTATGAAATGTAAAAAAACATAAGTCTGTATGAGGAATTCATTCTAAAATTACATTTTAACAACAAAAATGCACTATTACATGCAATTCATCTTTTTTCTATAGCACTTTTTTACAATGTAAATTGTGTCAAAGCCACTTAACATAGATAAAGGAAAACAGAATTTCAATATTCCAGCAAGTCTGGCAGACAGGACAGTAGTGGTAGAATGTTGGTGTAGTGCTGATGTAAAATTAGTGTTAGCCTTTAACTTACACATACATGTATAACTAAGATAAAAATTAAACCAACGTTAAACCAATACCATTAACCTGTACCCTAACCTTAGCATACTCTAAAAACTATACACAAGCTACTTTGTGTACTTAACGTCACTAACCGTAACCTACACTAAAAGCTATACACATATTGTACTACTAAACCTGTTACTAACCTCAATCGACACTAAATCCATACACATACTGTACAACTAAACCTGTCTCTTACTGACACTAAAATGTATAACCAAACCACAAAACCTGACCTTAAGTTACCCATAAAACCATATTTGTACCACTAAAGATGTCACAAACCTAACTCTCCTTTAAACCAACCATTAAACCACTCTTCTCCCTCACCTTAACCAACCATTAAAGCCATATTTGCTCCATAAATCAAGTCAACCCTTAACCCTTCTTTAAACCTACCCAGACTACTTAAACATTTGAACCATACCACTTAACTCAACCCAAACTGCAATAGCTTTAAAACATTTTTGCAATATAGAAGCTAAGACCAGAAAAATTACATAATATTTTATGTAAAAACATAGTAGCTAAGACATCTAACATAAACAGGGTGTAATCTATAATAATTGTCTGCGATATGTCATTCTGATAGGCTTCCTTGTATATCTCGCTGGTCTTTTTATCTTAGTGTGGGAGCTTCTTTTGGCTCTTACGTGCTTTAGGGCCCGTGATGCTTTGGTCCCTCTGTAATCCTCAGACTGAATCTCATTTCTCTCCTGCCAGATCGTTTACAACCCCCATTCATCACGCCTTGCCTCCCTCTGTTCTACTCAGAGCTGGACTCTGATGATAGGAAGTTAATGTCCTGTTGCACTAGAGGATCTCCATGGCTGAGATTAAAACGTGAAGAGCTTCAGAATCGTTTCAGGTACACAATGAAATTCCGTAGGAGGACGACAAGGGTCACCTGTCCAGATAAAAGGTAATCTGTGGCACAATGGTAGCCTTGTAGGTTTGGGTTAAAGGAAACAGGCTTGCTTGAAGCATTTGGGTTTCTTTTAGATCACAAACTGGTCAATCGTGTTGTGGTGGTTTACAGTCGAGTGCGACATTACCTGGAGGTGTAGAGATGCATTTGCCAAGCATTGGGTCAAACTCTTGCAGGTCATCAGGACACAAACACAGGAAGGTGCCTTCACGGTTCTCACAGGTGGCTTCACCACACACATTACCGAGAAGCTCACACTCATTCACATCTGCAGACAAGTAAAAGTGTTTCATTACTTTTCTTTCATTACAATGAAGACACAATCTAAAGTCAAATGAAGAACAATGAAGTGATTTGTTTAACTTTTTTTGACACAATTGTTCAATCAAAAATGAATCAGTTTAATTTGGTTCAGTCAAAATAAAGGGCTTAAAGAAATGATTTATTCACTTTTCTGGAGTTCTACTCAATGATCTGAAGATTTGGAGATGTACGCTGCCAAAAATGTGACTGTTTGAATTTAAGTAAGCAAATACTTAAGAGTCTATGATTAAATCTTTATTGCTGCAATCAAAATGCTTCTGGCTTGTTATTTGCTTGCCAACAACTCCTTGAACACTAACTGATGCAGTGTGCAGCTTTTAACTTCTTATACAACAATGTTGTGAGCTGTATGACATGGTTATATTCTATGATAGCAATGCTAAGATTTATTTGGATCAAAGTGTGAAAGAAAGGTCCATTTTCACACAAACTGACCACCGGCTGTTGCCTTCTTAATTATTTATGCTTCCATTAAAAAAGGTTTGGTGAACACTGTAGGAATGCAAATTACCATATGCATTTGTTTATATGGCAAAGCATGTCTTTTTCAGCAAGAAGGTTCATACAAATTACAAAGGCAGATACTGATAAGATCAGAGACTAGTGTGTGGACTTTGGGGGTTTTACGATGTGGTCACATATTGATTGGTCAGTTTGTATGTCTCTGTATTCGGGCTTTGCATATGGTCAAGAAAGATACAAAATAGGTGGTAAACTTTGCTCTGGGCTCTTCCTGCTCTGCTCCTGTCTTGCTCTGGAGTTTATCTTCTCTACTATCTGTTCAAGTGTCTCTCTCTCAGCTCACCCAGTAAGCTTTTTTTGTTTTTAAAAAATGTCTAATAGATGTCTAGTAGACATCTAAACATTGTCGTCCTGGCTAAAACAAGGCTAAATTTGGTCTGTCAGTTAAAATCTAATAGACGTCTAAGAACAGGCCAAAACTAGTCATCAAATAAACAGAAATGAATGACTACACATTTAAGGTCTGTCTAATCTGTCTACTTGACGACTAGTCTAGTTTTGGGCTATTTTTAGGTGTCTTTCAGATTTCCACTGACAGCCCACATTTAGCCTTGTTTTAGCCAAGCTGTCTACATATAAATGTCTATTAGATGTCTATTTAACACAAAATTAATATCATGTTTTATAACTTCATATTTTATCATTTTATACAGTTATTTGTAACTAATTCAGTAGTAGAGAATTATTGTCATTAAATCATTTCATTTTCAAGTAATTGAAATTTACTTTGGATTTATCTTAACAATTAATTGCTCCGTATTCCAATACAATACAATCACATAATAGCCACACTCTCTCACATTAGGCTATCAAAACTGCCCTTATTTACGTTTTTGGTATAAGATTGCAAAAGGATAGTTAGAAATATACAGTTTTCAAAATCATACTGATAACTTTTTAGTCATTCGGCAGAACAACAGTTCAAACCGCTGTAGTTAAAAACCAATTCAACACATTTACGATTTTTTTTTTGTCAGTTTTTAAGGCTTAACAGACATAACCTAAGCCTATTGGTTTAGTTTTTTCCAGGGTAAGTGCACAATCTAATCTGAATAAACCTTTGGGGCTTAAGAAGAGATTTGTTTTGTGTTTCATTGGCATAAAAACTTGCTTTGAGTTAATCATAAACTCTGGTTCAAAGTTGACAGAAATAAAATCTAAATTTGTGAAATCACTCATGCAGATCTTAAAAAAACTGTTTTGAATGAAATCTCGATTTTATCTGTTGAATATATTAGAACAATTAAAATAAAAAATACACACTACAGAAACCCAAGTGACAGTTTAACCAGACTTCTGAAGAGACTTTTCACAACTACAAGCTTTTGTGATCTCATAACCACCTAATTTATTATTCCTACAGCTTTATCCTGATTGGCTCAGAGCGTTCTACAAGACTTTTCATTAATTCTCCTTATCAAAACTATGACTTTTGTGAACCTCATAGAGCAATGACAAACTGTGTGCACGGCTGACTTCAGTAAATAAAACAGGCCCATTTTTCTGCCGACTGTCTCTGACAGCTAGAATTTATGACGACCAAAGTAGCACTATAATGCTTCCTGCAACACGGCTCTCTCCTCCTTTCTACTCACTTCTCTCTTTCTTTTCTTCTCAATGCTTCACACATCTGCGACTCTCATTCGCTTGCTTTTATCAATCATCTCACAGCACCACATACAAAAGGATGCAATAAATCAACTTGTGTGGAAAGCCTTTATATGTGCAATAGACTCAAAATGGTCTAATGGAGCCATCCTGGCAAACACATACACATGTACACGCGCACACACACACATACACACACTCAGCGATGGTGGGCCAGTTCGTCAATGAGCCTGGAAGTGTTTAACACTCTGTCTGGAGTCGGCCACGGTGTGGGTGCTGCACCACTAGGGAATGATAAAAGCTTGGAAAAGGGCGTCTGTGCCAGAGGAACAATGTAAAAGACAGATATGGCCTCATAAGAGCTGATATATACCAGTGGCTTTTCATGCACTCCGGAATAGAGTAGGCTTTGAACGGGACGTTTTCTACATCTTAAACAGATTTCTTTTTTCATGCAAGCGTTCTGCTCAATTACCTAACCTACAGTAGAGCGCCATTACAGAAAAAATCATGTTTTGGAGCTGGCATGACATATAGGTTTTATTAGTCTTTTTTATTGTGAGGTATATCTAAATGAAATTGCTCTAAATCTACTTTGTCTAGCAGAAATCGATTTAATAATGGTTGTTTCTCTGTGATTTCATAAAAGAATGTTAAGTGTGGGTGGCATGGTGGCTTAGCAATTAGCACTGTCACCTCACAGCAAGAAGGTCACTGATTCGAGTCCCAGCTGGATCAGTTGCCATTTTTGTGTGGAGTTTGTGTGTTCTCCTCGTGTTCTCATGGGTTTCCTCCGGTTGCTTCGGTTTCCCCCAAAGTCCAAAGACTGATATAGGTGAAATGGGTAAAATAAAAATAAATTGGGCTGTAGTGTATGTGTGCGAATGTGACATTGTATGGGTGTTTCCCAGTACTGGGTTGCAGCTGGAAGGACATCCTGTGTAAAACATATGCTGGATAAGCTGGTTGTTCATTCCCCTGTGGTGACCCCTGATAGATAAAGGGACTAAACCGAAGAAAAATGAATGAATGAATGTTTATCACTGAGATTTCATGTAAGAATGTTAAGTGTATTATACAGCTTTAATTTTTATTTTTTATTTTTTTGATGGCAGAATGATGTGATGACTGATTTTTTACAAAATATATGTTATACTAAAAGACAATGAAAAAAATATTATCCATAATTTGGATTCCATAGGTGCGTCCCAAATTGTATACTTATGCACTATTCTTTGTAGTATAAAAAAAGCGTTTACACTAAAAACTCAAAAAATAATAAGTGTACTTTAATTACCCGGATGATGCACTTAATCAACCATTAAAATGTAGTGTGGAGCGCTGGACACTTCATGCCCTCAACCATAGATATATACACTAGATATTGCATATAGACCCTGGTCATTCGTCAATAAGGACAAATGTCATTCAACAGCCCTTTAGTCAAGACTAAAGCCAATGTGAAGATGCTGGACTTTTGTGCTGTGTACAGGTGTAGTAACGAGCAAACAAAGAAAACAAAGCACAAAAGCATTACATTTCATAGGTTATATTTCATTGTTACGATTTCGTATGTTATGATCCTTTGTGCTAAACAAATATCGATGATACTATACAGTTTCTTACTGCACTGATCGCAAAGTAGCACCAACTTGCACTAAATACTAGGCTTTTAATTTTGTTGAATAAAATAAGCAGACAATGTAAATGAAATATGACAACAAGACGCTGCGGTGCTACAAACTTGTATTATTGTCGGCTAAGTGAACAAGTCATTCATAACATGGATTCATTCACAAACAAATCGCTCTATCTTTTAGTAGAAGTTAAAGCATGAGAGGGGGTGTGTTTCAGGACACAGATTAGATAAAATTTAACAGGGAGAGAGGATAAAACATTTCCATGCACACAAACCAATGACTGTAAAAAATATGGACAACGCGACAGCCCCTTTTCCCATTGAACACCTTCAGGGCAAAACGCCTGCTTGACGGGCACAAACTGTCGCAAAAGACTGCTGAAATTGGAGCCTTGACATGCGCAGAAGGACTGTCCGATGGAGCCAGAGGAGCCGCGAAAATGAGCGGAGTCAAGCTTCCAACCAAACGCTTTATGTAAAATCAACCACGCCCCCCAAACTTCTCAGCATGCGGTTGCTGTCATATCAACACAAATGGATGTAATAACGTTAACAAATATGAAGGTTTTATATATTCAATCGCGTCAGCTCCGGGCCGCAGCGCATAACCTACTCGCGGCGTCGCGGGCTGATTCCGGCTCGCATGCGGCAGCGCCGACTCGCTCGGCCGCCGCATCTGGCTCGATTGACTCGGGCTGGAATCGGGCAGTGCGTCCAGGCATCGGGAGTAGGTCCAGCAGAGGTAGTCAGTCTGAGCTCTGAGGGGTAAGTCTCCGGCAGGCGAGAATCTAGCCGGAACTGTCCCGAGTGTATTTTGCTATCTGGGTGGTTAGGCGTGTATCAGCAAACTAATAAAGCCCGAAAAAAGCCCTGACCTTAGCGAATAAACAGTGTTCCACCAGGATCATGTATGTCAGAAACTATAGTTTACTGCTGAACTCATTTTGTCATGGTAAAATAACACAGAAATCGAATAATAACACTTCAGTCTCCTGCCGAAGCTCAGACGCACTGCTTTGAGAAACTGTCAATCACAGCTGTCAATCACGATGACACGCCCAGCATTAAATTACTGCTAAAAACAAACTGTTTACAAAAATGAAGATCTGCACCTATTTCAGCACAATAACCAGTGCCTTAAACGACCAGAACCATCTTTCCGGACATTTTATTGCAAGTGTAATAATTTTTTTTATTTAGGCTTTTTTATTTAGTCTCCTTCATTAACACGGAGGAGGTGGGCTTTATGACTTGTACTGCAGCCAGCCCCCAGGGGGCGATCTAACGGCAGAGACCTTCACTCAAACGCAGGCTTGCGGCACTCTTGACACAAACACTCGCTCTTTGTCGGCAATGCCCGTGTGTTCACTTATCCATCGATATAGAAAAGGGATGTAAAATATTTTCAGAATTTAAAAAAAATATTTGCATACTGACCACTCCTGATCATAGATATATGTATCTATACCTCTGGTTCCAGATGGCCAGTCCTCCAATGCAGCTTGGTCCCTCATTAATTTCAAAGAAGAGCAACCCTGTACTAAAATGGCGGCTCTATTGATGCATTCCTTCCAATAGACAACAACAGAGTTGGGGACATCTAATGTAAATATCTATGGCACGAAAGAGGAAGGGGCGAAGCTATCAGGCTCACATGTTGGATTACATTATTTAATTTAGATTGTGAAAGCAAAATTTTCCTACGAGAGTGATTATATTGCCTCCCGATGGTGAATGCAGTTATACTCATGGCAGGTATTATTTGGTAGTTTGGTCATATACTGTATTTCATTAATATGGGAAACGATTTTAATTTCCGCTTTGTAAAAAAACCCATTAGTGTTCCATTTGGGACGACACTACATACATATACTATGGTATTGAGTGTGTAAGTGCATAAGAGCATAGTGTATAGTGTGCCATTTGGGACGTAGCTTATGTTTGTAAACTATGTCAATTTAAAGCAGAAACAAAAATGGGTTGTCTCATCCTTGACATAATAGCTGTACTTTTTCATAATACATTTTAGCAATAATTGTATTGCATCAACCTTTTAAAGTATATTTTCAAACAAAATGACATTTTAAATTAAACTGATGTTCAAAGCATTAGAAGCAAACACGTCTATGTGGAAAACTCACTTTATATTTATTAGGAATTCCGACAATACAGAGAAAAGCAATTTTCTTTTCTTTTTTTCCCCCAGCAGCAGCAAACAAAATTAGTTCAGGATGCTTTAATGCTTTTGTTTTTATTTATTTTTCCCTCAAGTACACAAGGAGTTAAGATTCTCAGTCTCTGGAAAGGGATTAGATGTTATCCATTTACTTCATTAAAACAGTTCAAGACACAGAGAAGCTTGAAAGGGCTGAAACAGATCTTTAGAAAAGTCTATAGATCATAGAACGTCTGGATCTGGGATTTGTTTTTGTTTGTCAACTGATTAGGGCACAGAAAACTGCACTTTATTAAAATGTGGTGCTCAAATTGACTTAGCGGGTTCAAATTTAGCATTTCCTTCAGCTATGTCACAAATGAGGGAGAAAAGGACAAAAATAAAATAACAAAGAAACACACAGGTCTTTGTTTGTCTAGGTAATTGGTGGACAAAAGGAAGAGAGAGGGTATAATGGATGTAGTAGTGGGAGAATCTGAGGAGAGAGACGGAAGAATGGATAAAGAGAGAGAAGTGGGAGGAAAAGAGGAATGCAGAGCCTGTCTGTGTATCAGCATTAGTGTGTATTATTGTGTGTTACTGCTGTGGGAAACCAGAAACGATGGAGGTTGTTTGTGGCGGGTTACATAAGCCAATAAGACAAACAACCTCTATTTAGAGACTGAGAGAGAGAGTGTGTGTTTAACAGTGAGTGTGTGGTTCAGTGTGTTTGTTTGCTATGCGTGTGTGTATGAAAACCCATAGACTTAGATCAAGCTAGAGAACAATATGCTGTGTGCAGTAGGTGTGGGTGGTTTAAATCTTATACCATGGTGTGAGCAGTGAAACTACTCAAGAGTTAAAATTAAAAAAAATGTAAATGTATAAAAAATGTATTAATAGGAGCAAAATTGATTTATAATGCTATAAAAGTTTATCAAATAAAAGCTTTTTGTTTCAATGTGTAAAAAATATATCCTGGCAAAAATATTTAGCATATCAGTTAATTGATGCATTGATAATAGTACCAACTAGGCTTATTCTGAAAATGTACCGCTATATACATTTCTGGAGAGCACCAAATACATCCCCGGAGCTACATTTTTTTTTTGCCGTTTTTGTGAATCCCCTAGAGGCCGCAGTGTACGCTTTTTGGGATTTCAGATTTCCCTTGCAAATGCCATTCACGCATGCTGTTCTCGTGTAAACCAGAGGCTGCTGTTGACAAACTGACTGATTGATTGATTGATCGACTAACCCACCCTCCTCCTTCCCTAAACCAACTAATAGTGTTTTCAAAAGTACAGATTGACCCATCCACCAACTTTCCTAATCCCTAAACTGACAGTGATTTAAAAAGCAATCCAGAAAAAAAGATCTTGCCTGATTTTTACCACATTTTTACCATTATTTACTTTTTATTTTTATATTATATACACTGTTTATATGTTATATATTGTTTTTTTATTTCTTGGCTTTTGTTTTTGTCTTACCCGCTTTTTGGAACCGTTCTTCGTTAGACTCGAAGCCTGTTGACATGGTCAACTCCTCTGCGTCTCAAGTCCACCAACATACATGGTGAGCTACAGGACAAACTGGTAACATCTAGAAAGCGGTTCAAATGGAGGGAAGTGTTCGGCTGGTGAGCGTGAAAAGAAACGGTGTCATACCACCCCGTTCGCTCTAAAGACAAAATGTAGAAGACAAAACTTCTGGCTACATAATTTGCGATCTCCAGAAATGTATATAGAAGGACGTTTTCAGAATGAGCCTAGGTTGCATTATACATGTTTTATTTTTATCAACACAAAACTATGAAATAAATATTAACACTAAATGTAATATTTTTTTGCAATAATACTATTTTACTCCATTTAAGATTAAATAAATGCAATAAATGCAGCCTCAGTGAGCTTAAGAGACTTGTTTCTGTATAGCTTTTATTTCTACAGGTTTAATTATTGTCATTTTAGCCTGATTTTAAGTTAAATCATTTATGTTTAGCTATTTTTTGTCTTTTTTCAAATTCAATTATCTATGCTACACAAATAATAATATTAGTCATATAATAAAGGCAACTCTCTTTCAGAAGGTAAGCTGCACAAGAGCAGTCAAGATGAAAACATGTGTTATTTTAAAGCATTCACCAGCTCCAGACCTCTAAACACCAGGCCACAAAAAATACATGTGGCTCCATCACTTTAATAGGTCTTGACTGTGTGTCAATGTATTAATATGTCTAGATGTGTGTGTATATGGGGCCACTGATGTGTTTAACCCCAGTCGCTGTGTTTTAAACATTACCGGGGTCTGTGCCGTTCACCCTCAGACTGGAAGAAACTAAACACGCACATCAATCATGGCCATAGCAAAGCGTCTGCCATCTTTTTTTACATTGTCTGAGAGGAAGTGGCAAAAAATCTGGCCTCGGTTTAAAAACCCAGCTCTGGTTTACCTGTCTATCAGGGCTTTAGAAACACACTAGACCACTCATCCATTAGCCGTTTGTCTCCCAAAGGAATAAGATATATTTTTACACTCAAAATAACACTCAACTTTGAACAAAAGATTAACAAATGAGTTCAACCATTTTTGAAAACTTTCAGCCAATCTCCGGGTCTTGCGTTATGTATTATTGAAGTATCAGAATGGGTTTCGGTATCAATAGATACACAAAAGTGTATCCGCAGTGTACGCTTTTTGGGATACACAAAATCAATAGATACACAAAATCAAGTGATTCTGACTCTGAAATAAAAACCTTAACGGGAGACTCTGAAAAAAAACCCTGATCTGGACATCCCTATGTTATACTGTATGTCCTGCTTCTTCTTCTTCTTTTTCTTTGGCCTTTGTCCCGTATGATTGCGAGGTCGGCTCTGTTTGGAACAAGTCCATATGATAACGACTTTTTTGCACCTTCCAGCCGGCCTATCGTATGGGCTTGTCACACTCACACACTCACACACTCATACACTACGGACAATTTAGCTTACCCAATTCACCTGTAGCATGTCTTTGGACTGTGGGGGAAACTGGAGCACTCGGAGGAAACCCACGCGAACGCAGGGAGAAACTATGTCCTTCTATCTTGTGCAAATTCCTGCTTGTTGCTTGCAGCACTAGTTCTGATGCTGAACATTTATAGCTTGAATAAAATATTCAAAAGCTTTCAAACAACAAAAGGAGTAAAACATCGCAGATATTTCATTTTTGGGTGAACTATACCTTAAAAACAACAAGCAAAACATTTCAGCTGTTTAAGATAGGTGTCTAATAGTGATTAATCTGTGAATAAACAGTGAATACTATTTAATTTTAAGTTGAACGTATTGAAGTCACAGAAACTAGAGTGGAAAAAAAACATACCCACACAGCCCTGCCCATCCTGAGAGTCCTTAAATCCCGGGTCGCACTGGCAGATGAAGGAGCCTATTGTATTCTGACAAGTACCATGACTTCCACAGGTATTCTCATTCAGAGAACACTCATCCACATCTAGAAAGAGAACAGGAGAGACAGTGAGACAGAAGGAAGAAGATGTTTTTGTAAGCTCTTTGTGTGCTGAGATGAATGGATGAGTGAAAGAACACAACGGGGAGTTCAAAAATCACATACAGTTCTATTCAAAAGTTTGAGACTTTTTGGAAAAGAAGCGTTTTGTGCTAATAAAAAATACAGTAAAAACAGTATTATTCTAATATTTTTTTATAGTTTAGTATAACTGACTTTTTTAGACATATATATTAAAAATTTCTTTATTCCTGTGTAAGTAAAGCTGAATTTTCAGCATCAATACGTCAGCCCCAAGTTTCACATAATCCTTCAATTAATTTAATATGCTAATTTAGAGCTCAAGAAAAATGTATTATTAATATTATTATTATTATTATTATTATTATTACTATTACTACTATACTACTATCACTACTACTACTACAATTATTATTATTATTATTATTATTATTATTACTACTACTACTACTATTATACTACTATCACTACTACTACAATTATTATTATTATTATTATTATTATTTTCAATGCTGAAAACTCTAGTGCTTCCTAATATCATTGTGGAAACGTGACACTTTTTTTCCCCGAGATTTTGTAACAAATAGAAAGAAATAGAAACGAAATTATTTGAAAGAAAATTGAGTAATACAGTTTCATTTGTGAACATTAATTACATTAGCTAACATTAAACAAACAAAGTACTTTTAAAACATTTGTTAATAGTATTAATTCATTTTTACAAATTTACTAATACATGTCTAAATGTCCCATGTATTTATAATAGTAATAACAATAAATGATGCATAATTACCTTCAACTAATCATAAACCAACCCTCATCATTCCCCTCTTCACAAGTAAGTATATGTAGTTGATTAATATTACTTGGTACTTAAAAGTATAGTAAAGCCTGTTCACATCAACCACAATACCAATACAAATATAACAATAAACATATCTGAGGTGTAATCACTCTAATTAAACTAAAGCAGCACAATTTACCCCAGCACTTTCAAAGAAGGCAACACAAATGTGCTGAAAGTAGCTGAGGTACTTTTATTTTTAGAATTTACTTTGCAAGCCCGCATAACTAGTATGTGTTTTTAATATTTATTTTCTATGTAAAACCAATTGTTTCTGTGAAAAACAATACCTTTAAATAATCTTTGAAAAGATGGCTTAACATCAAGAAGAGCATCTGCATGTCTTTTTACAACTTTAAATTTCAAGCTCTTTTTACCATTAATATCAATGGAGTCTGAGTGGCTGTCAGTGTTTTATCATTTATTAGTTGGGGAAAAAAATCATTCATTCATTCATTTTCATTTCGGCTTAGTCCCTTTATTAATCTGGGGTCGCCACAGCGGAACCAACCCCCAACTTACCAGCCGCAACCCATCTCTGGAAAACATCCACACACACTCAGAATTTAGCGTACCCAATTTACCTGTACCGTATGTCTTTGGACTTGTGGGGGAAACTGGAGGAAACCCACACAAATGCAGAGTGAACATGCAAACTCCACATAGAAATGCCATTCTTCGGCTTAGTCTCTTTATTAATATAGGGTCACCACAGCAGAATGAACCACCAACCTATCCAGCAAATGTTTTACACAGCGGATGCACTTCCAGCTATAACCCAGCACTGACACACATACACTATGGCTAATTTAGTTTATTCAGTTAACTTATACAGCATGTCTTTGGACTGGACCCGAAGGAAACCAATGCGAGAACATGCAAACTCCACACAGGAAAGCCAATTGATCCAGACGAGACTCGAACCAGTGACCTTCTTGCTGGTGGAAAAAAATAATGGTCTGAACAATGTGGTTGTTTTACCTTTAGAACGATTTTTAAGTCTGTATTTATCATCATGTTTTGTTATTATGCTTGGTGTGAACAGTTCTTTATATGAGAAGAACAACAAACTATAATGTAATCAAAAATGCATTTACTATCATTTTACATAAAAACCTAATTCCAAATATTTGGATGATAGTATATATACAGTAAATACGGACAACTGAATATGAAATGAGTAAACATGTAAACATAATTGCAAGCTGCAAGCCACACACTTAAGCCATACTGGACAAACAAAACAGCTCAGATCAGTGCAACAATGCCAGCTGAGAGAAGCAAAGTGATGACATCACGGCTGAAGTTGGTGCCCTTGAACACTCACCAAAACAGATGCTATGTTCACCTCGGGCATGGCCAGGTGGGCAAGGTGCCTCACATCGGTAAGAGCCAGGTGTGCTCATACAAGCCCAAACCCCACAAATAGATATCCCCAAATCAGCACACTCATCAATATCTGACACACAGCACAAGCAACCAATCAGCATATCCTGATTAACTAATCAGCACAGAGCTTCTGGATAGAGAGTGAGACTAAAAGCAAATCATTTCTCTCGGTTTTTACCCTGGCAGGTACCATTTATACATTTGGTGTCATCCACACACTCATCTACATCTGAAAAAGCCCACACATAAACACACACACACACACATTGGGTCATGTTAATGTGATATATTTCTCTTTGTCTAGACAACTAGTGCAGAAGCTTTCTTCTCGCCGTTTTACTGCTGGATGGGGCATTTAAAACAACTCTGGCACCTCACTGGGTCCCAGGAGTACATACACCCGTCCCACCAGAGGAAAAATAACATTGGCTCATATGTGAAACCCATTAGACACACAATCCCTTTCTTTCTCGTACTCGCTCTCTCTCTTGTGCCGCCAAAGACTGGGGCTTTTCAACAAAGCAACAGATTAATTTCACGTAAACATCAAATAAATATCAACACAGCACCGCTGAGAATCAGGACAAACCACAGCAGGGTGCATCCAAAAGTGAATGTGTTTGTGTGTGTCTCTGTGTGTGTATACGTACCCTGACAGCCTGTCCTGGTGGACACAAAGCCAGCATCACACACACACAGGAATGAACCCTCAGTGTTCAAACATTCTCCATTCGGGATACACAGTTGTGTATCATCTTCACATTCATCAACATCTATGAGGATAGAGTGATCAAATTAGCTTCGTGAATTGAATTCTGGTCGATTTCTTACTGCTTGTATTTTTGTAAACAAAAATACATAAAACAGAGGGAATTCTAATATATTCAATTTTTAGTCTGCTATGTTACAAGTTTAGCTGGCTACAGTTGAAGTCAGAATTTTTAGACCCGTTTATTTTTACCCCAATTTCTGTTTAACGGAGAGAGGATTTTTTTCCACACATTTCTAAACATAATTGTTTTAATAACTCATCTGAAGTATGAGGAGCTCTATCCTGCTGAAGAATTTGCCCACTCCTGTGGTTTGTAATGTAATGGGCAGCACAAATGTCTTGATACCTCAGGCTGTTGTTACCATCCACTCTCCAGACACCCCCATACTAAATGTAACCCCAACAATGATTTTTCCTTCACCAGACTTGACTAATTTCTCTGAGAATCTTGGGTCCATGCGGGTTCCAATAGGTCTTCTGCAGTATTTGTGATGATTGGGATGATTCATCTGAAAAATCTACCTTCTGACACTTTTCCAAGTGATCAACTAGAAGTCAAGTTATTATTTACTTGGATTGAAAACAATACTTTTGTCTGGTAGTGTATGCTGCTGGTTTTATAAAAAAAATATGGGTCTTAAAATTGACAAAAAACAAAAAAAATAAGATCAGATAAGGAAACATTATTTGGTGGACATGCACCCTAAGAGTATTATGATTATAATATGCTATTCTGAACACAGCCTCTGCTTATATGTGTGTGTTTGTGTGTGTAGGATTATCTCACCAAGGCAGCTGGTGCTATTGACTTGTCTATACCCCTGTGGGCAATTGCACTGGTAAGACCCTAAGATATTGACGCACTGGCCCACACCATCACAGGTCTGAGGTATCACCAAACACTCATCCACATCTGTAAACATCAGAATATCTCAGCATCAATCTTAGATGTAACATGAATACATGAATATATATGGCACACAAATTCAGTCTGGTACCTTCACATTGGTCTCCTGAGGACGACAGTTTGAAGCCAGGCTCACAGTTGCAGATGAATGACCCCTGTGTGTTTTGACAGTGACCTTGGATACACACGTTATCGTCCTGACATTCATCAATGTCTGTGACACACATACACAATGTTTATCTATATTTTATATGTTTTATTGATTGATTTTATTTTATTTTATTGATTTATTCAACCTGTTTGTGTGACTTGCAAATTGAGAGTCACAGTGCTGTCATAACTTACATAAAAAGCTACAACATATAAAATCCCTGACACACCAAACTGACAACAGTACTGGAGGCTGCAAAATTTGAGAGAGCATACAGATGAAGTCAGAATTATTAGCCCTCCTGAATTAATAGACCACCCTGTTTATTTTTATCCTCTATTTCTGTTTAACGAAAATATTATTTTTTTCAACACATTTCTAAACATTATAGTTTTAATTACTAATTTCTAAAAATGGATTTCTTAAATCTTTGCCATGATGACAGTACATAACATCTGACTAGACATTTGTCAATATAATAGTATTCTGCTTAAAGTGCAATTTAAAGGAAAGGCAAGTTAGGATAACTTTATATAACAATAGTTTGTTCTGTAGACAACTGAAAAAAATATATTACTTAAGGCAGCTAATAATACTGACCCTAAAATGATTTTAGAAAATTAAAACTGCTTTTATTCTAGCCATGATGATTTGATGATGCCGTGACATCTTCATTACATCATATGGTACTCATGTTCAGAAGTCATGTTTATGGATGAGCTAAAGTTTTCAAAACTTATTAACAGGGTAATACGAAGCAGAACACGGTGGTCCATGTCACTAATTAACATTCTTCGCAACATTTGTGATAACATAAGCACATAAGTCAACAAAATATATAACAAATATATAATACTTTTAATTACATCTTACATAGAGTGCCTTTAAAGTCTTGATTTAAGTTTATTTTAAAATGCATTTTACAATTTTGATTCATGGTTATTTTTCAATATGTGATCACATTGTGCAAAATATTTCATTAAATTTTTTCCTATCCATTAGATTCACCTAATCCATGGCTAGTTAATGTAATTTAATTGATTAACTTGTTATTTTGCATTTTAAATGCAATTAATTCAGAAAATAAAACATAATAATCAGCACTGACTTGTACACTAAACTGTCCATAATGATTTTCTTACTTAGATATATTCTTGTTATAGTCCAAATATCCCAAAATTCTGAAATCAAGAATCATTTTCTAGTTCAGTGGTTCCCAAAGTAGGGGTCATGGGACAATGACAGGGGTCACTTTTTGATTTCCAAAACATATTTGATTAAACTATTATAACTACCAAATTTTATCCATAACCCACAGAAGATAAAAATATTTAATAGTTGCATAAAAACAACAACATCATGCAAACAAAAAGCCATCAGCCTTTCAGTTTTTGTTTTTTTCATAGGATTGGTGTGTTTACGTTAGATTAATAACACAGCAATAGCATCAGCTGCAGCAGATTGATTTTATAGCACCAGGTAAAAGTTTTTCTGACACCTTTATAGCAATCAAATGCATTAAAAATAAATACATGCCATAACTGAACTTTAAGAAAGGCGGTCTTCAAAATCAAACCAAGAATAGACTTGTGCTGAAAACATTGGGTCTACCAGTCTCTTTAAGCTATGTTAATAATAAATTAAACAAATAATAAATGACTGTGGTTGTATAAAAATAAAAATTATATGGTTGTTAGACTGTTGCGTTTTTTTTTTTGTGTAATAATATGCTTGTGTTTATATAGGCCTATTGTTGTATGCGCAACATTTGTATATTTATAACCACCTCGATGAATGTAGGGGTCGCCAGGTATTGTTATTTTGGGGGTTGCGTGCTGAAAAGTTTGGGAACCCCTGTTCTAGACAAGTAAAAACTATAATTTTCAGAAATAGTAAGTCATGATTAAGTGGGTTTTCATCAAACAAGCAAAAAAATCTGCTATAGGGTTAAGTAAAATAATCTGGTTTTAGTCTTGAAATACATTTAGTTTAATTCTTCAACTGGCTGATTATGATTAACTTGTTTTAAGGAAAAAAAGTTATCTAAATTAATTATAAATAAACAACAACAAAACAAATCATTACAAAAACAAAAAAAATAAACATGCATCTAACGATTTCCACAATGACAAAACAACAAAACAAAAGCTACATCCAAACTAGACAAAAACACAACAATGGACAAAGCACTTGAAAGTCGAAGAGCTTATCAATCCTTTGTTTGATGAGATAGAGACAAGCAAAGTCTTTGAAAAACACTAAAAGCTGCTGAACTGTGGATGGATGGTACCTGTGCAGCTTTTGCCATCAGGAGTGGGCAAGAACCCTTCATCACACGTGCAGACGAAATAGCCCTCCAGATTAGAGCACTGACCATGAGCGCACACTCTTTTATCCAGACACTCATTTATATCTGCACAGAGAAGGTCACACGCACAATATATCCGAAGAAAAACACCACCATGGGTCACATTTATAAAAGCTCCCTCATTTGTCAAAAAATAGCTGTGCTAAACACATATCAGCGCATAAAATCAACAACACTGAAAAGGCTTCTTACCTACACATTGGCCGTTTTTTCCTTCAAACCCATCCGGACAGGGAGAACACATGAATGAGCCCAAAGTGTTATAGCAGAGACCAGATGGACACGCTCTCCTGTTCTGACATTCATCAATATCTACACACAGAGAGAACATTGTAAAAAAAATAAAGAGACAGAATCAGTATAATTAAAAGTCTGATGACTTTTTTTTCTGTATGTTGCTTTTTAATATAGCTCTTAACTCCATTTTTTTCTTCTGTAGGTTATGGATAATATATAGTATTTCTAATGGTTTATAAAAATGAATTAGATTTTTGAAAATCACCAAAAAAGTATTGTCCTGTTTTCAGAAATAATATGCTAAAAAATTGGTTTGTTTTTCCTTAAAACAAGCAAAATAATCAGCCAGTGGGGTAAGAAAATGAATCTTGTTTCCGCTTTGACAAGATTGTTTAGCTTGCTTCATTGGCAGATTATTTTGCTTGTTTAAAACAACTAAATTTTGGCATACTATTTCTGAAAACATATATTTCTGGAAAAAAAATTGCTTGTCTAGAAAATGCTTCTTGTTTCATAAGTTTCCTTTTTAACTGAACTAGAATCAAGACAAAAAATCTAAATAAGGAGGCATTTTTTTCAGTGTTTTCCACAAAATATGACATTTTTATAAAAATAAAAAATAAACACAGTAAAAAAAAGAGGTTATATTTTTTGAAACATCAGATTTCAGACTACATTTATTTTTATTTTTTCAAAAAAATTGTACTTTACAAAATGTCTATAAATGCCTATTTTTCAGCTACGCATATGGATTTATGATATGCCTCAAGTCAGTTGTACAGTCTACATGCCAGCTGTGAAGGTTTGATAGGAGGTCCTATAATTATGGATTGGTGTTTTTGCTGTCCTACTGTGAGGGGAACAGAAAACGATTCACTCAGGTGCAGGAAAGCTCATTTGGCATTCTCCGTTTCTCTGCTACACCGTTATTAATGAAGCTGCTTGAAGAAAAACATCTTAACTGTGAAAGCGCTCCGATGGCGATATCGTGATGTACGATGGCACAATGCCTGCTTCCTTCTACACGTTCAACCATTTATTCGCCTTTATTACTGTTTCCAGCGGCTGCCAAAGACACTTCATCTGTACGCTGAATGGATGCGTTACATTAAAGCGGTTAGGGTGTGAAAACACATCACCTAATCACAACCGAAACAGATTTTTAAAGAGCGCTACATTCCATTGGACAGGAGCATTTGCAGTGACACATTTCCAGTCTTTAAAAGAATGCTTTCTTAATGTATAAAGACTCAAAAAAGATTCAGGTTTAAACTTCGAAAACACTTGATTTTTCATGAATTTAATAACCTTAAATGTAAAAAAAATCTGGGGATTGCAGACTTCACACTTAAACAGATGGTGCACTTTTATTGTTATGAATTGGACAAAGTACAGCAGAATAATGGAATTAGCCCCAGCTTCTAAACAAAAGTGCAATGTTGTGGAATTCTTGATTTTTTTACGTTTACTTTTCAAGATAGAGAATACATCAAGTGTCTGAAGTGATCAAATAAGGCTATAGATACAGATCTATGAGTTGCATGGACCATGCTGAAATATAAACACTATTTGTGAATTGGGGGAAAAAAAAACAATTATGGGACTGTATATGTCAGACTTGGTTGTTAAGTTGCAAGCATTTTTAGCATTTTACTGTTCAAGTAAACAGGAGTTAGATGCCAAAACTACCTAGCTTGAAGCAATGCAAAATCTGGCCTCCAATGTAAATACATTTTCCAAGTAAGAAAGTTGTGGCTTAACTTAAATAAGAGATGTAGGTTTGAATCTTGCTCATAATTGGTTTCCAGTGATAAAACTAGTAACAACAATTTAACACAGTGGAGGGGGTTGCTAGTGATTTCCAAAAATCGAATTAATTTGATCAAACTATTAGAATTATCATATTTATCCATAACATACAGAAGAAAAAATGAGCATTTATTAGTTACATTAAAAACAACAACATGCATATAAAAAGCCATCAGCCTTTCGATTTTTTTTCCATTGGATTGCACTTGCAGAAGTGATTACATTTGATTGATTTTATGGCACAATGTTAAACTTTGAAATCTTTATGGCACTCATATATGTTAAAAATAAAGTCCACGAATGAACATGGAAGGTGATCTCCAAAATTACACCAAGAACAAATATTGTGCCCACATTCATTAGATGAGGTTATTATTAAGGCCCATTCTCAATCCTATACCTTAGTCCTTCCCCTTACCACTACCCCTTGTTTTGTGTGTTTACGTGTAGCGGTAGGGGTGTCCCAATTCTCTTTAGCTAGAAGGCATAGGGCTAAGGGAAAGGGGTAGATGGCTCTTGAAATGGAGATTTTTCAGAACCATACTTGAAACAAAAGGATATAAAATTTTCTCAGAATACATAATCTACTATGGCAGCATATATGCACACGGAAGTCAGAAGATGCACAAATTAGTATTTTTTTGTCCTTATTTTTTACAATAAATAAGCATGTGTTTTAATACATTCATAACTGCTTTTGTGTTGTACGGTCATGCTTTTAAAAAAAACAATAATGTGTGCAACGTTTGTATGTTTATAACCACCTCCGAGAATGGGAGGGTTGCAAGTAACTGCAAACTCTGATTTAACAGACAGACTAATAAATAAATGAAGTATCCATTATCTTGCATAATCAAAGATGAAGATCAATACCTCAGATTGCAAATAAAGTAACTTCTATATCATATATTTGGGTGGTTTAAACCAGGGTACACCAATCTCGTTCCTGGAGATCCGGTGCCCTGCAGAGTTTAGCTTCAACTTGCCTCAACACACCTGCCTGGGTGTTTCAAGTATAATCTAGTGAGACCTTGATTAGCTTGTTCAGGTGTGTTTGATTAAGGTTGGAGCTAAAATCTGGACCGGCCCTCTAGGAACAAATTTGGTGACCCCTGGTTTAAACAAACAAAGAAATCTTCTGAAGACTCAAAAATTTTGGCTTCTGTAATTAAGGTTAGATTTATTACCAAATGGGTAACTGCTCTGAAACTAAAAGAGTTAAAGCAGTTTACCAGAGAACCCAAAGTGCTGGCCATATCAGTTTAGATGACTGTAATGAGCAACTCTCAGCAGACACTGCCGGATGTCTTATACTCCAGATTTCCTAATATGAGTAGAAGATGTGTTTTCCAAGCACCATGAACATTTCCTCATCTGCAGCAGCGGCGCTGAGGTATTTGGGTGACTTGGATGAGGGTACGATAATACCTCTCTCCTTCCTCCACAAACCTCAAAGTGTGTCACAGGGTGGTTTCTACCTCGTCTGCAAACCCTGAAAACCAGCTAATGACACACGCACACACACAGGATGTTTTTGGAGTTGAGAAAGAGACAGAGCTGTGCCTGTATTTAGATGACCACACTGCGGTTCAAGACCGAAAGCAGACTTCATATGAGCGCTGATCTGTCTGAATCAAAATAAGTGCCAAGAAATAAAGGAGAGCTCACGAGGAAAAATACAGCGCTTTAAACCACTAAACGAGCCATTTTGTTTTGCTTCTAACATGTCCACAAGCTAAGTAATTATCAATAAAAATATTCTTAATGGAATAAATGTAGGTACAAATCCAACAGCGTGAACCTGATTCAGTTAGGTTGTGTGTGTGTACTGTATACAGTATTGGACAGAGTGTTGAAATTACCGGAACAGCTGCTGCCCCTCTCGTTAGGCATGAAGCCAAGCTCACATACACACAGGAATCCGCCTGGAGTGTTCTGACAACGGCCATTAGCACACAAACTTGGGTTCTCCGCACACTCGTCGACATCTGTCAAAAACAATTATTGGGTAATCAATGGATCTGTCTTTGCAGGCAATATAAGACATGAACCCAGTACAAAACCTGTGTTTCTGCAATATATCATCCACTAATACTTCACCACCTGTATTTGGAAGCACAAAAATGCCAAAAAAGGCATCTTGTAAAATTAAAGAGACTAAAGTTATTCTTATTTAAATGCTATTCTTCCATATTATGATGATGACTTTATACATAGAAGCATGGATGTAGTTTGGGATCCTCATCGGTGCTGCATTTAGGTTACGTAAAGAAATAAGCTCTCACAGAAATGAAAGTTAATGTATAACTGGATTGCCCTTGTGTTGTTCCAATCCTATATGCCCTTCTTTCGCTTTCATATCACAAAAACAAGAAATCTAAAGAAAATGGCCCACTTGTGCTCATCCAAATAATGGCAGTAAATAGAAACCAGTATTAAACCCCAGATAATAACCACAGGAGATGTGTGTTAACGATACTCTAAGTGTTCTGGAGGCATACAATATAGTTTGGCGGAAAAACAAACCCAAAAATGTATTATTTAAAGAAAATACTAACACTGACCATTGGCCTTTGTGCCTAACTGCCCATTAATAAGACCACATCACAGTGACTCATCTAAATAAAATAAAATAAAATAAAATAAAATAAAATAAAATAAAATAAAATAAAATAAAATAAAATAAAATAAAATAAAATAGAATTGAGTTGAATTGAATTGAATTGAATTAAATTTAATCTAGATGAGTCACTGTGATGTGGTCTTATTAATGGGCAGTTATGCACAAAGACCAATGGTCAGTGTTAGTATTTTCTATAAATAATACATTTAAATTGAATTGAATTAAATTCATTTCAATTCATTTTAATTCAATTCAATAAACTTTATTGTCTATCCCACAGGGGTTGGCAATTTTTCTTTAGAAAAGGCTCACACACAACAACAAAACATAAATACACTATTATAAAACATAAAAACATAAATGCACAAAACATAAACTACACAATATTTTAAAAAAAAATCCTATATAAAAAACCAATGGCAGTGGCAATAAATGTCTTCTTGAACTTATCCTTTTTTTGCTGAAGGAACATTATAGCGTCTATCAGAAAGAAGTAATTTAAAGAAACCATGCAAAGGATGGGAAGAGTCTTTCACAATAGTAGAGGTTTTCCTTTTTATCGCTGCTGTTAATATATCAGTGAGAGGTGTTTGCCTCTCACCAATTATTTGACTCGCTACATTTGCCTTAAAAGTTTATTTGTGCTTTTATCGGAGAGGGAGTTAAACCAGGCTACAATTTTAAAAGTAAGAACAGACTCAATAAGTGATTTATATACGACAATCAAAATGTCTTATATTTTCTCAACAAACTCAATCGCTGCTGAGTCTTTTTAAAAACTCATCTAGATACAGAAATAAGAAATGTGACAAAATTTAATCTGTCAACTTTCTTCTCTGTCGCAAGCATGTATGTTGTCTTCTTTGCAACAGAAGCTTATTGCATTATCATCTAACAACTAGAGTTCACACAATCTACATTATTTTTGGGTAATTTATTTCACACTTTGTTAGCTAGATTTATCAAAGGTGGGATTTTCTGGGCAGGTCGGAGTGAACTGTGGCAGTAATAGAGATTCATGTAACAAGCAAAGTGATGATTTTCATCCGTGCATTTGTAGACAAGTAGACAGATTATATTTTGAACTGGATGACCAACAATTTTCTTCTTTTAAAATTAGACAAGACAGTATTATTACTTATTGGGCCTAAATCCTGTACACAGAAGATCTCGCAACTCGCACCTACAATTAGAGGGATACAAAGTTAGCATTAGCTCTACTATAAAAGATCTGGATGTCATATTAGACAGCAATTTAACTTTTGAAAATCATATATCCCATGTCACAAAAACTTCATCCATTCAATCATCTGAGAAATTACACTAAATTACGAAGTATGCTATCCATCTCAGATGCAGAAAAGCAATCCATGCTTTTATGACTTCTAGGCTGGATTACTGTAACGCACTGTTTGCTGGCTGCCCAGCATCCTCTATTAACAAACTTCATTTAGTACAAAATGCAACTGCCAGAGTTCTTACACGGTCTAGAAAATATGATCATTTCAAAATATAAAAAATGTTGCTTCTTACATATAAAGCTTTAAATAATCTAGTTCCTGTTTATCTAACCAACCTTCTGTCTCGCTACAATCCAACTCGCTCTTTAAGATCTCTAAACTCAGGGCTTCTGGTAGTACCTAGAATAGCAAAGTCGAGTAAAGAAGGTCAAGCAGCTGCTGTAGTTTTCATGGAGGAGTGGAGAGCATGAGACTGATTCCTGTGACGCTTCAGGGACAGACGAGTCTTCGCTGAGGCCCAGCTTCCAGCCTCCGCCGCTGAGACTGCAGCTCTGCACAAGACGTTTGGCCAGTGGAAAAATTAAAATGGTCGTGTCCAACTAAGTCTGGTTTCTTTCAAGGTTTTTTTCTTCACTTTCGCCAATTGGTGATGTTTTTTTCCCTCTCCGTTGTCGCCACTAGCTTGCATGGTTTGGGATCTGTAGAGCTGTGCATCGATGGATTTGCTCTCCAGTGTCTAGACCCTCAGTAGTGATTGTTAAACCACACTAAACTGAGCTGAACTTAACCTTAAACACTAAAAAACTGAATTACTCTGTTCCAATTTACTATGACCTTTTATGTGAAGCTGCTTTGACATAATCTACATTGTAAAAGCACTTTACACATAAAGGTGAATTGAATTAAATTGAATTTGTTTTACACCAAACACTATACCCCAAGAAATATTGGAATAAATGGTACAGTATGTGTAAAATGAATAAATATTATTTGAAGCATTCGTATCTTTTAAAAAAAGCAGGGTGTTTTTTTTTTACTTATATAAATTGGAAAAAAGGAATACAGTATTGGAACAACGCTGGAGTGAGTAGATAATGACTTTTTGGTTTAACTATCCCTAAAATTTGCAATTCAAAGATAGAATTATATTGAGTTATATTCAGTATATTCATAATATGCAGTTACAAAAGATATGTCAATGCCAGACCTGTTGAATTATCAATTTAAAATTGTATAATTAATGATCTGAGTTGTATAAATACAACTGCTTTATGGCACATTTGTTGCTTTTTAACATTTCTCTCATTGATTCTGTTACATTTTGTTGTTTGTGGTGAAGAAAAATACTATAGCAGCAGTGTTTTGGTAACCTTTGACCGCTCACCTACACATGTGGTGCCCTCACTGTCCGTTCTATAGCCGTCATCACAGAAGCATGTGTAGCTCTCAGCAGTGTTATAACAGATTCCTGCACCACAGATATCAGGTCTCACTACACACTCGTCAATCTCTGATGAGAGAGGAAGAGGAAAAAAAGAGGTAATTTGTATTTAATAAACATCAGAGATAACATCACAAATAAATGAAGGACAATATCAACTTTTAAACCAACAAATAATGCACATTCCATCAGAATATTTTATGTTAATCTTTGCAGAGAGGAAAGAATGTCTGAAGCAAACATAGTTTGTTGGTTAATTAACTGTCAACAGTTATACTGAAAAGGCTGTTGACTTTAAAAAACTAACTAAATAAATAAACTAATAAATACATGTCAGGGTTTGTCCTAGGAATCTGCTTGGAAACAAAGAAAAATATTTTGCAACTTCTTAATTAATCCACTGCTTGTTATGGCCTGTTCATGACCTATGAAATTGGAACGCTCTACGTTCAAGTTTCTGGAAAAATAAACAATAATGATAATACAATTACTTTTTAAATTCACCATCTGTCCAAAAAACAGTAGTGTTGTTTTAATTAAAAACATAATCTTAAAATGCGACCATAGAAAAATGAGACAGAGAGGTTTCTAGCATTCATATGTTTGCTTTTTAGTCATTCAGCATACTTTTAAATGTATATTTTCAAAACAGTGTACAATTTTAACATGCAACATTTATTGTTTGTTATCCAAAACATTGATATAATAATTATAGTCTTATAATAACCTTGCAAATTTCAAATATATGATGGATGAATGGATGGATGGATGGATGGATGGATGGATGGATGCAGGATAAATAAGTGCATGCATGGATGGATAGATGGATGAATGAATGGGTAGATGGATGGGTGATTGGATCAATGTCTAGATGGACGGGTTGAAGAAACCATGAATGGATGGATGGATGGATGGATGGATGGATGGATGGATGGATGGATGGATGGATGGATGGATGGATGGATGCAGAAAATATAGGTGCATGCATGGATGGATAGATAAATGAATAGGTAGATAGATGGATAAATGGATCAGTGGGTAGACTGACAGGAGGAGAAAAGCATGGAAGTATGTATGAATGAATGAATAGATGAATGGAAGGGTTGGTTGGATAGATGGGATGGAAAGACAGAACTCAACAGTCAGCTTGTTTGTTAGCCAAAACATCAATATAATAATGACAGTCTTATAGTAACATTGCACATCCCAAATATATGATGATATAAGATGGATAGTCGGCAGGATAAACAGGTGCATGAATGAATGGATAGATGGATGAATTAATGGGCAGATAGATTGGTGAATGGATCAATGGGTAAATGAACAGGTTTAAGAAAGCATGGATAGACGGATAGACGGATAGATCAGTAGATAGGTGGATGGATGTAGAATATATAGTTGCATGCATTTTTGGATAGATGAATTAATGGGCAGATAGATGGATAAATGTATAAGTGGGTAGACGGACAAGAGGAGGAAAGCATGGATGGATGGATGAATGGTTAGATGAATGGATGGGTTGGTTGGATAGATGGGATGGAAAGACAGAACTCAACAGTCAGCTTGTTTGTTAGCCATGAAATCAATATAATAATTATAATCTTATTAATAACATTGCACATCCCAAATATATGATGAAAAGATGGATAGTTGGCAGGATAAACAGGTGCATCTATGGATGGATAGATGGATGAATGAATGAGTGGATAGATGGATGAATAATGCATATACAGTAGAATGCAGAATATATAGGTGCTGCATGGATGGATGGATGAATTAATGGGTAGATAGAGGAATAAATGGATCAGTGGGTAAACAGACAGGAGGAGGAAAGCATGGATGGATGGATGAATGGATGGATGGGCTGGATAGATGAGATGGATGGACAGAACTCACCAGCCAGCTGTGTTGGGGTAATGTCCTGACCTTCATTGGAAGGTGGAATTGCCACTGGAGCCGGTGGTGACACTTTCTCCACCACCTCTGGAGAGGGACAGGTAATAAGAACAACATAGAAAGAGAAAGAAAAGTGATATATGACATAGTCTGCTTAAAAAGCCCTGATATGTGCCCTAAGGATTTGCAAAAGAAATTATGAAGATAGCATTATTAGTCTTAATTTGGTTAAAAAAAAAAAAAAAAAAAAAACTGAAAACTGAACAGGTCCAACATCTGGGACCACAGCAGTAGCTCTCAAATCAACCAATCACTGTCCTGACTGCATGTGTCAGCTAAGGTCATGTCTATTATATGAACTGCTTTCTATTAATTTCAGAAATCTTTGCATAAACCAGTGTGTCAAGTGTAAAAGAGGTGTTTCTGGGCATAAAGTGGGACTGAGACCTGGGAGGGCAGGCTCCATCCTGATTGTGGACACCCCGGGTGAAAGCTGGGCTTGTCCAGGCTGTACTACTGACCTATCAATGCTCATGGGGGTAAAATGATCCTTTAAACAGATAACAGACAAATGATACACATTCACTGATCCACAAAGAGATAAAGAAAATTTATTGGCAACTAAAGCAACAAGCTTCTGCTCTGACTGCATGAGGCGTTAAAGTGGGCGAAGCTGTAAATATCTTTGGCTCTGTTCCAAAAGCCACACTTGATGCTTACTCTACTTGCAGCTTTGCTATATTGAAGTCCACTACTGTCTTTATCATTTTATATTTTAGAAAGGTGCCTGTGAGACCAGCGGGCAATGAAGAAAATAACCTATGACAGTCAATCAGAACAGACTTCTTAGTCAGGGTAACCACTAAGTCATTTTTGACAAGAATAAAACAAGGCTGTAAGGGAAGTACAGTGCGATCAATATACAGAGACTGTTCAGCTGCTGAAATGTTATCTGGAAAACAAATATGTAAATACAGTAGCATGTTTAACTGTAAAGCTTATCCCTCACAGCCTCACTTTCAACCATGTTTAATTAAACATGGTGTTTAATCTGATGGTCTGTTAGTTCAACGAAGTGTGGAAATGGACCACAAGGGTGGCATTTGGTACAGAGTCTTTATCGAGTGGAAGAAAGCGAGATGCAGTCTCACAGATCTCCAATTCTACCTGCTTTTCTCTCTCTCACACACTCATATACAAACAAACATCTTGATGTATGTATGAAATGTATGGAACAAACTGGGTTTACACTGCTGCAAAACAATCTACCTTCAGTGAACATCTAGACTAGGGTTTTTGAAGTTTTGTCATATAGATTCACAGTCCGGCAGAATTTTGTTCCAACTCTGAATAAAATTCAACTGTGTTAGATTTTAAATAGCATGTTTATTAGTGTTTGATTGTGGCTAAAGCAGAACTCTGCAGGGTTATGGCTCCGTGGGACTTGCCTAGCTTTACTCTTAGCACTTTTTAAAAAAATCATCAAATATCTTTTAATATATTAATACTGTATTTTAAGTAGGCATGCAATGATAAGCAAATATTTTTTTAAAAGTGCTAACATTTTCTGTAACACCCTACCTAAAGTATGTGTAATATTTTTTATTCACATTTATTTTATTTAGTTTTTTAGAACAACATTATCTCCAGCAGAAAAGACATCCAAATGTGTCATTTTTAATTATAAAGAAATCAGTGATTCATTTTCATTATTCAGCCTGACATGTTTACTGCTCCAAAATATTATAAATCTTTCAAAAATATATATAAATATATATAAAATAAATTGTTTTAAGAAAGGAAAAAGTTTTAGTTTTTTACCCAGACATTTAAAAAGAATATATTTTAGAGCAGTAATCACAATACTGTAATACAGTAAAACCGTAATCTTTTTTTCCAAGGTTATTATACGGTCAGAATCTTACACCAGCCCATGCCTAATTTCAGGTGAATCAGAATCTGGCAGGCAACCTGAAGAAGACTTTTGGGTCATTGGTGGAACTGATGAGTACCAGTTTGCACACTTCTCAAAAAGCTGCCTTTCTAAAGGGCCGTCTAAGGGTTTGGGTTTATCTCCATCCTTAATCAAACACACCTGAAAAATATAACCTATGTCTTCAGGATTGCTTGTGAATTACAGTCAGGTTCGATTAGAGATGGCAACAAACTCTTCAAGGACCAAAGTTCCTCACCTTTATTGCACTCCATTGAAAATATATTATATCCATAGATTTAAATATTTGTTCTCTCTTGTTTTCTTGTGATCACAACTTTTATTTTCTTATGATCTCAAAATAACAAAAAGTTGTTTTTGTTATCGCAACCAAAAAAAAATCATATTTATTTATTTATTATTATTATTATTTGTACTATATTTCATATATTTAATGTATTATTATATTATTATTATATATTATTTATATCAAGTCATGATCACAAGAAAACAAGAAAGCAAAACCTAATATTGCATGGCCTCTAAGGACTTCCATAGATATCACCTTTTTAAAATCATATTTAACATGCAGTAACATTAATTGCAATAATAACTAATAATCAGCTGATTACATATTCTGCGATAATTAATTGTTTGATAATTAATTGTCAATGAATTAAAGCTCATTTACAGCTGATTACAGAAACGGCTTTACTGACAAAATGCGCACATGAATGGTGGAGCCCAATTAAAGCATTTATTAACATTTATGAATTAAACGCATTTATTCACACACATAGACCAGAAAAAACTAAGACGAGACTTTTTTATATTACCTGAACACCACTCTTTCCTAAACTGAGGTGTTAAAAAAAAAGTTCATCAGAAAAATTTTACATCTGGAGTCAGAGAAGTTTCTCAGCAATAAAAACTAAAGCCTGTAACAAATAGACCTTGAGCTTCTGCAGGCTTGAGAAATGAATGGTAATTTAACACTGCTATGTGTTGTTTACCTCACAATAACCAATCCAAAAACAAATACTATGCGTTTTGGGTTTCTGTAGACAGTTTTTTAGACGGTTTTGCTGTTCACAGTACTGGAAGTGATTCTAGCGCAGACAGACTCTATCGTCTGTTCTTTATCTAGATAAATCAAAACTGGAACCCCGATTTACTTGGTCTCTTACAAAGCAACACACAAATATAAATAAACAGTCACATTCATAAAACAAAGCCAAAGACATACAATAACGCATTGTGTAGCTGCAGATTGATGAGCGTAGAGCACAGTCATGCAGTCATGATGACATCATGTTCCCGCACACAAGTTTTGCTGCTATTTGCAGTGCTGCATTGATATGAGCATAAAAGCATCAGCTGTGCAGCATATTTAGCAGATCTTTATTGCTGATTCAAACCCAACCTACCTGTACAGCAACTGTAGTCACTTCAGCAGATCATTGTCATATTAAAACATAAAAGTACATTGTGTCAAACAAAGCTGTAAACTAAATTTGTCAATTTAATATAATACTTATAGTGCCTATACATCAGATTGTACTAAACTAAAATAAAACAAGTTTAATAAACAAAGATAAAACTTTGTTTTAAAAAAACGAAAATAAAATATTTTTTAATAAACTACAATAAAATATTTCTAATAAAATAAATCAATTTCTAAATAAAAATCTATTAAATATTCAATAACTAAATTAAATCAATAACTCAATAATTAAATTAAACATAAAAAATCATTTTTATTAATATTTTATACTTATTTTTATTAAACTTAAATAAAATATTACCTAAACTAAAACATTGTCATAAATTAATGAACTAAATGTTCTATAAACTAAAATAAAACCTCAAAAAACTAAAACATAATTTTTAGTAAACTAAAATTTTTTATAAACAAAAAAAAACATTTTTAATGAACTAAATAAAAAAATTCAATAAAATGTTCAATAACTAAACTAAACTAAAACATTTTAATAAACTAAAATAATTTAATCAAATGAAATAAAACATTAAAAAATAAAATGTTTTTAATAAATTAAATTAAACTAAAATAAAATAAATAAAACATTTAAAAAATAAAAATAAAATAAAACTAAACTAAATAAAAAATAAAATAAAATAAAAAGAAATAAAATTAAATAAAATTACAAATAAATAAATAATCAAAATTAAATAAAATAAAAAAAATATGTTTAGTAAAATAGTATTTAAGTGGGCGAGCTTCAGGGGACAGACTTTATTTCAAAAGCAACTTTGAAACACAGTCTCCCAGCAACAGGACAAAACTTAATAAAGCCCAAGGACAAATTCTTTCTCTCTGAACCTGGCCCACCTCCACTTTTCAGCTGTGCAATGCTTTTATGGGCTTCTTTTGCAGAGAGGCTATAAAAATCTGTGCAGTTCATTTTGTGCGAGAGTAGTGAAAGGAGAAAATATGATGTGATGCACCGGTCTTCTGGAATCCTTCATCAGCTTTGACATTGGCTTTGCAAGGTGGAAGCAATACTAATGACTCTTTCCTTCTGCCAAAGAGAGAACAGTCCTGTGTTCACTTTCTATAGGAACAACAGAGTCTTGGCTACATTTTGGATCTGTCTTGTGCAGACTGATGCCAATTCTCATTCCACTGCTTGGTGCCAAGTGTACATGTGATGACATTTAAAAAAGGAAAAGAAGGGCAGAGAAGAGGGTGAAAGAGTTCTTGCTGTATATTGTGTGTCCCTTTCATAAAATGAAGGCAAGGCAAATAAACTCTGAATCACAAACCCACAAACACAAATTTGATAGGCATCCTTAACACAATGGTGATATTAAAAAAATCTACATATTCACAGACTGTTGAACTCACCAGGCAGCTGTCTCTCTGTGATGCTCAGAGCCTCCACGGGCTGCTGGAGGGTGGGGAAGGGCACTGGAGGATCCATAGGGACTTGGTGTCTGATGGTGGGATTGTTGTACCCCTGACTGTCTGTCTGAGTGTGTCCATTAGGAGGTTTGGGCTTGTAAATGTATGGTGGGGTGACGTGGTAACCCATACCTCCAGGACAAATGTCTTTAAACGCAGCTATGAGTGAAGGAAAGAAAAAAAATCAACAACACCTTCACACATTGTCATTTTATGAAGAGGATTACCTTTAATATATAGATCTGTCTATCTATCCATCTATCCATCTTACTGTTTAGCTATCCAATCACCTACCTACTGTATCTATCTGTTTTTTACTTACTTTCTGTCCATCCATCCATCCATCTTCTATCAATCCATTTATCTAGCATCTTCTATCCATACCTGTGCATCTATTCATCCATCCATCCATTCATCCGTTTATCCATCCATCTATCTTCTATCTATCCATTTATCTAGCATCTTTAATTCATATACCTGTGCATCTATGCATCCATCCATCCATAACATCCATCCGTGCATCCATCCATCCATCCATCCATCCATCCATCCGTGCATCCATCCATCCATCCATCTTCTATTTAGCCATTTATCTAGCACCTTGTCCATATACTTGCTATCTATCCTTCCATCTATCCTTCCATCTATCCTTCAAACTATATCTATCTATCTATCTATCTATCTATCTATCTATCTATCTATCTATCTATCTATCTATCTATCTATCTATCTATCTATCTATCTATCTATCTATCTATCTATCTATCTATCTATCTATCTATACATTTTCTATCAATCCATTTATCTAGCATCTTCTAACCATACCTGTGCATCTATCCATCCATCCATCTTCAATCTATCCATTTATCTATCATCTTTAATCCTTATACCTGTGCATCTATCCATCCATCCATCCATCCATCTTCAATCTATCCATTTATCTAGCATCTTTAATCCATATACCTGTGCATCTATCCATCCATCCATCTATCCATCTTCTATCCATTTTTCTAGCATCTTCTATCCGTTCACACGTGCATCCATCCATCCATCCATCCATCCATCCATCCATCCGTCCATTCATCCATCCTTCCATCCATTCACTCATCTTCTATCTACCCATATATCAGTAAATCAAGCTGACATAAATGAACTGAAAGATTCTTCTTAGAAAAAAAAATTTTTTTACAACAGTTTTCTTACATATCAATACTATTAAGACAAATATTAATTTAGTCTCTGATGCAGCCCATGAATGCAGCACTTACAGGAAGTCAAACACAAACATGAAAGAACAAGTGTGTATGAAAGTGGAAACAAAATCTACAGCACAACTAAAAAAAACAGTGATGGCACGTAAAAGCACCTAAATAGCAATAACACATGCAAACTACAGTCATGTGATGGACAGAGGAGAGGGAGTGATGCCAGTAGAACAGGTGAAACCAAAAGGAGCGTCTCAGGGATCTTACCTGTCCCAGGTAGAGGACAGCGGTCACAATGAGGACCCCAGGCCTTGCCCACACTACAACAGCATAACTGTTTACTCAGCTGAGTGGACACAGGGTGCAAGCACTGCTTCCCTGAACCGACAAACCGGAAGCAAGCACCCTTCTCCTCGCGAAGAGCAGGTGTTTCGGCTGGTTGGTGGAGGTGGAAGGAAGGAGGGAGGAGAGGAGTGTGCATGGTGTACGACACAAACATGGAAGAGAGAGAACAACAGAAGAGAAGAGAGATTCCCTTCACCTTGTGTTCCATCTGTGCACGACTACATTGCCATAACAAAAGAACAACTGCCTCTATACCACATTAAAAGTGTAGGGGATAGGAATGTGTGTGAAAAAGGATTCTGTTTTTTAGACCAAAGAGTGACAAAAAAAAACACAGGACAGGAATACATCCGTCATTGTGCAAAGAGGTCAGTTAAGCAGGAAGCATGTAAGAAAGGTCATTTGCGAGGGTTAATAAATAAAAAGGTTGATCAGACATTGCTTAAATATACTATAACTATTATGTTTATCTTAATAGTATATAATGTTTATCTAATGTGTTTTGTATCAAGAGTTAGGTTTACATATAAGAAAAAAAAACATTTTATTGGAGCCCACAAATGAAGATTATGATCAGAAAAGTGGCAATGACTTATTGAAAACTATTATGTAAGTTGATTGCAAATATTATAGTCAGTAAGATTTATTTTTATTCAAATTATTTTGAAAGTGAAAGTAAAACAATTACACCGTTTACAGTTACAAAAAAATAAAATATCTTTTTAAATTAAGTTTCCATTCATCAAAGAATCATGTTTCCACAAAAATGCTAGTGTAAATGCTAAGTATTTACTTTCAAAAGGAAAAAAAAATAGTTTCTGAAGGATCATGTGATACTGAAGATAATGGAATTGAATACTTTTATATTAAAAATATGTAAACAGAAAAAATACATTTCAGTTCATAATAATATTTTATATATTTTAGTTTGATGTATATTTCCATTCAGGTGAGTATGAGACTTTCACAAACATAAACATTTAAATTAATCTGACCCCAAATATTTGAATATTCATCTACACTACCTGGAAAAAAAATCTTGTTAACTATCTAAGTTTTAGGAATAACAAATAATAACTTCTAGTTGATTATTTTGTTTCAGAAGTGGCTTATATGAAAGGTAAAGGCCTCTAGATTACACTTATTGTACCAAAATAAAATATGATCATGCCTTGGTTTTTAATTATTTAATTAGGATAGTAAGGTCTGACTTTGCGTAGGCAAAAGTCTTGACAGAAAATAATGTACAGTATAGAATGTAAAGTCATAGTGCAGTGGTAAAAAATATATATTGTGTATGACTCTCATGAGCTTGGAGGACTGCATATATACAGCTCTGCAATTACTCAAATAACTTATTAATAAAGTAATCTGGAATGTCAAAGAAAGTGTTCTTGCAGGACTCTCAGAATTTATCAAGATTCTTTGGATTCATCTTCAATGCCTCCTCTTTCATCTTACCCCGGACATGCTCATTAATAGTCATGTCTGGTGACTGGGCTAGCCAATCCTAGAACACTTTCACCTACTATGCAGTCAGGAACTTCAATGTGGAGGCTGAAGTATGAGAAGAAGCGCTATACTGCTTAAGAATTTGCCCTCTCCCCTGGTTTGTAATGTAATGGGCAGCACAAATAACTTGATACCTCAGGCTGTTGATGTAATCCCAAAGCAGGATTTTTCCTTCACCAAACTCGACGGATTTCAATGAGAATCTTGGGTCTATGCAGGTTCCAATAGGTGTTCTGCAGTATTTGTGATGAATGGAATACAGCTCAACAGATGATTTATCAGAAAAATCTACCTTCTGCCACTTTTCCAAATGATCAACCAGAACTCAAGTTATTATTTGTTGCTCTTACAACTGGGATCAATGACTTTTGTCAGGTAGTGTAGTGTACAATCTGTACATATTTATACAGTATTTGTTCTTTTTTATGTTTTATTCTTAGAGAATGAAACTCAGTAGACTGTGGATCATAACAATAAAGCACTACATACATTTGTTGACACTTATAAAGTCTGTCATGTGACATAAAACACCCTCAGGTACAGTAAATGTGTTGATGTACAAAAGAACTGATATATTAATGTGAACATTTTTCACTTTAATGAAGGGCCAATTCTAGGGTTTTATATTAAAATAGCATTTTAATAAAGCAGATAACAACAGATTTGTGTTGACAGACTTCATACTGTCAGCCAAAGCACACTCTATACATGAAAAACACGACTGACTGAAGGCTAAAAGGACAGCTCTCTGATCTCCCCTGAACAAAGGAACGTGTCGGCGTGTTCCAGAGGTGTAATTTGGCAAATGCTGCCTTTCAGGACAAGGATCAGCCTCTATATTTATCACAATAACACAGACAGCACACTTAGGTTACCTCATTAAATCAAAGAGAAAGCTTGAGTGTGTTTGTGCCCCACTGACCGACCGATGATGCACCAGTGATGTCAGCACTTTTGTACATGAAAATGCCTGAACAGCAGAGAAAAGGCTGCTCTAGTGACAGCCACAGTTAGTGTTACATGCCATGTTAAATCATGCTGCTTGCCTTACTGCTAGCCATTGGTTTGAGTTGAAGCGGTTAGCTGCACTGTATTTAACTATATTTACACACCTTTTTCCAATGCTTCATGACGTTTAAGTGAATTATGGGAGCAACTTCTGTCATTATTCTCCTCTTAGCATTTCCATTGAATATAAAAAGGAGACTTTCAACAGACCAGGAATATCCACAAAATCTTGATATGAGTATTACAAAGCAATATTAATACTGATGTATATATAAAATCACTGGCACTTTGGCCACAGATATTGTATGCTTGTTATTCTGTCATTTTATGCATGAAAAATAAAAATAAAGCACAAAGCTAAATGTACATCTCATTCAGTTTTCACTATGTAAAGTATATGGACTATTTGTGGCCCCGCATTATCATCTTAAGTGATTTGTTTCAGTTCTTTTCAAAAGAAGTATCCAAAACCAGAAATACAACCCATAATTTGAAATTCAGAAGTCATGTGTGGAAAAAGGTGTTTATACTGTAATATTTAAAGGAACACTTCACTTTTTTTTAAAGGGGTCAATATGTAATGTAATGTAATGTAATGTAATGTGTATTTATATAGCGCATTTATTGTGTATGGCCATACACCCAAAGCGCTTCACAATCATGAGGGGGGTCTCTCCACATCACCACCAGTGTGCAGCATCCACTTGGATGATGCGACGGCAGCCACAGGACAACGGCGCCAGTGCGCTCACCACACACCAGCTATAGGTGGAGTGGAGAGACAGTGATCGAGCCAATTCGGTGGAAGGGGATGATTGGGAGGCCATGATCGTAAGGGCCGATAGAGGGACTATAGAGGGACAATATACAACTCACCCTATATAGTCCCTATAGAGGGACTATAGAGGGACAATATACAACTCACCTAAAATTAAACAGTTCAGTTTTACTAATTTACAGCTGATCTCTAGGTCTGGTCGGCACTTTAAGGTTAGCTTAGCATAAATACTTGAATCTGGTTGGACCATTAGCATCTCACTTAAAAATGACACGTTAAAAGAAAGTTACCTAGCTGGGATCTATTTTTTTCCGGCACTGTGTAACATAATTGTGCTATTGCAGCCATGGTTTTGAAGCAAAGTTCCTTGATTAACACGCTGGAATAAGAGTATCACTCCTAACCATATCGGCCAAGAAAAGAGAAACTTTTCATTTTTCATTTGTCTTAAGGTGCGTCCCAAATCTCATACTTATTTACTATTCTAAGCCATTTTGAAGTATAGTTAGTGTAAGTAGTGCGTTCACACTGAAAACTCTAAAAATAATAAGTGCACTTTAATTACCCGGATGATGCACTTTTTCAACAGTTAAAACTAAGTGTGGAATGTTGGACACTTCAAGCACTCAACGGCGGCTGCTTTTCTCATGTAGCAGAAGAGGTGGGGCTATCGGGCGCTCATGTTGGATTACATTATTTTTCTTTGGGTTGTGAGAGTGGTTATACTGCTTCCTGGTGGTGAATGTGGTTATACTCATGGGAGGTATTGTTTGGTAGTTTGTTCATTAATTTCACTAATTTGGCAACCGTTAAACGTCATCAGGGAAACAGTTTGAATTTCCGCTTAATAAAAAAATTTTAATGTTCCATTTGGGATCAGCTTAAGTAGACAATGTAACTACAGAAGACTCAAGCATTGACTATCGAAACTCTTTGGTCATTTTTGAGTGAGATGCTAATGGTCTAATCCAATTCAATTACCTATGCTAAGCCAAGGTAAAAATGCTACCGCCAGACCAGAGGATTGTCAGAATGTATTAAAAATGGTAAAACTCAACTCTAGAGTTGTTATAAAATGTTTTCTAAAAAGGTTCCTTTAAGCATGTAAGCATGGAGAACACAGGAGCATGCTAAAGTAATCAGACTTCCAATAAAAGAGAAGAGAAGAGAAGAGAAGAGAAGAGAAGAGAAGAGAAGAGAAGAGAAGAGAAGAGAAGAGAAGAGAAGAGAAGAGAAGAGAAGAGAAGAGGAGAGACTTACGGAAGCAGGACGTCAGTGATGGATCAGGCACAAAGCCTGGGTTGCAGATACACCTATAGCTGCCCACAGTGTTGATGCAGTTTCCATTTGGACAAACACCTTGAAGCTGACATTCATCAATGTCTGAGGGTGAAAATAAATATCAGGGACTCATTTTCATATTTCTTGGTTCCATAATCACTCTGACCTTCATCAACTGTCTAAAAAAAATCAGTCTTTTACACCCCACAGACGAAAGAAAGATTCATTTTAGTATTTGCTATTCAGCAATGTATCTATTTAAAGTAAATTCTGACCTGTAATTAGTAAAACGATCATACAGTACAAAATTTGATTGAAAAATGATTAAATACTTACAAATGGGTAAGTGGTTTAAAGAATTGTGCACAAACAGTCTAGTTTATGATGTAACAATTGTTAAATTGAATTACAATTTAGTAAGCATTTTCTGTAAATCATGGCATTACTCTTGATGCCTGAAAAAGTTTAATCTCTGACTCCCTATGCAGTTCTGGCAATCAAGTAAATGTATTTCTTTAAAGCATGTAACTCAAAAACAAAACAAACAAACAAAAAAAATGGAATAAATAACAATAAAAAAAATATGAAAAATATATACATGTATGTCCACAGCAGGCATGGATATTTGTTTTGTCCTTTAGTCATGCAATTTAAAGCCATATGATGTGATTCACCTTTTTAGACAGAATGTTCACACATCGACAAAAACACACACACATTATCTCTCCAAGAGGCCACTGAGTGCGAGTTAAGGGTGTGGGCAGTCATCATTCCCAGCCACTTCAAGTAGGCCAGAGATCCAACACATTTCCATAATGCAATGCTAATATGTTCATGCTGACAATGACGCTGAGAGAGGGCACACACTCAATCACTCAAACATCCAAACATCTGCAACAGAACACACACTGGCCCAGAGGAGCTGTCAGTCAAAGCAATGACACCATAATGTCTCCATTTTAAAAATAAACCTATTTTTCTATACACAGTGCACCATTGACTGTATGGTGATAGATTCCTAAAGAAATATGGTCATCTTTATTTTAATGGTAACTTTTTATTTACATGAATATACAGGAATATTTTATTACGAGACAGAATTGTAACACTTTACTTGAAGGGGATGTTCATAAGTGATGAAACCTTTATAATGTGAATGAGATTTTATATATGCTTATAATGACTGTCATTAATTCAATCAGTTATAATGCAAAGATGACATTCATGGATCAGTTAATGGATCTCTCTGTTAAAATGTTGATGATCTGAATCAGGTGTGTTTAGTAAAAAGACATACAAAATATGCAGGATGAGGAGGGCCTGAGGATCAGACTTGAGAACCATTGAAGTAAATGGTGAGAAAATTTGGATTTGTTTGGTAAACTCCCCCTATATAATCTATTTAAAATATGATTATTACTATTGTATCTTTTTGATCCAAAAATTGCTTGTCCCACCCGTCAATGTCATTTAAAGAGCTGTGAACTTTTATAGTGTAAATGACTTTGAAAATACATGCACGATTCTTAATCTAACCCTGAAATTATATTTGCGAAATATCTTTTAGTCATTAAAAACTGTACATGGAGTGATTAAAATAAATTGTAACAAGTAAAAGTAAACTATAATGAACAAAATTTAAGGCACAGGCGGAATTACTCTCAACAACAACATGACTAACGGCAGCAAAAAGGATCTGGGAGCATCAGAGCCTCACAAAACAGCCAAACCACAGGAGAGCCGTCTAGATACACCGTAAAAGCTCTGGCCTGACGTAAGAATGCGTCAGAGGTTTAGTTGGACCCTCAGGCCATGTTATCAGGACAGTGATTAAGCTCAACCTTAACGGCACTCGAAGCACCAAACAAGTGCTGTAAACTTGCCTCAGAGAAAAGCACATGCTGAAATATTCATTACCAGATGAAGGTAAAGTGAGCCTCCAAGTGCTTCCAGGCCTGTTTATTAAATCTAAGACACATTTTAACCATCAAAGGTATCTTGGGTACGTTCATAATACCTGTGTTATGCTGTGAAGAAATTACGGGAGTACTACAAATTAACTACTAAAAATAAACGGCACCAGAAATGTAGTGATCCTTAAAAGGTGGCAATAGCAAAATCACATGATCAGCTTTTGCTGAAAGTATATTAAAAATGATTTTGCAGTTTTAATGAGTAATGCCTGATATTGAAATTATAATAACCTTATTTGCTTACTGCAGAATAAATTACTCAATATTAAGCAGTTCTTTTTTTTTTTCAAGCAAGTCATGTTTTATCTTAATTATCTGTACTCGTTACAGTAAAATATGTCTCAGTGTTGCCTGGTATTGCACCATATTGACCAGATTGCTGCTTTCAGATGCCTGCGGCCAGGCTCTTAGCAAAGCCTGCTTCACTTTTAGCTGTGGTTCAGCTCTGGTTTGGCAAACTGAGGCAGCCAGTGGTGTTTCTAATAGCAGATGTGTTTGACTGGGGGTGTGTGGAGAAACAGAGATGGAGAGACAAACGGTTATCTACGGCTGCACCCTTGATTAACATTCTTTAAAAAATAAAATCATTTGGCAAGAAATTAATACTTTTATACAGCAAATATGCATGAAACTGGTCAACAACGACAGTAGAGTCATTTATAAATGTTAAGTGCTTTTATTTTGACCTTTATATATATTTATTTTTTAAAGTTATCATTAGAAATTATTTCTGAGCACCAGATAACCATATTATAATGATTTCTAAAAGGTAAATAACTGTGTAAGGAATAATTAAAACATTTATACAGCAAAGACAAATGAAAATGATCAAAAACGACAGTAGAGTCATTTATAAATGTTATAAAGTGCTTTTACTTGGACCTTTATATGTATTTTTATATTATAATTAGAGATGATTTCTGAGCACCAGATAAGCATATTATAATGATTTCTAAAATGGAAACAACATTTAAAGAAATAATAAAACTTTTATATGACAAAGACACATAAAAAAATATTTTTAAAATAGAGTTCAGTCATTTTTAAATGTTATAAAGCGCTTTTATTTTGACCTTTGTATGCATTTATTTTTTTCATTATAACTAGAGATGATTTCTGAGCACCAGATAAGTATATTATAAAGATTTCTAAATGAGAAATAACAGTTTAAGGACTATTTAAAACATGATCAAAAATGACAGTGGAGTCATTTATAAAGAGTTTAAAGTGTTTTATGTAGGCCTTTACAGTATATGTATTATTATTTTTTTTTTATAATTAGAGATTATTTTTGAGCACCAGATAAGCATATATTGATTTCTAAAAGGGAAATAATGAGGAATAAAGGAAATAATAACAGGGATTAAAAAAAACTAATTTGCCAAAACAGAAATAAATAACATTTAAAAATATTAACTTTTTTGATTAAATAAATTCCGTCTTGATAGAAAAAAAATAATAAATTTTAAAAACCTTTTAAAACATCTCATAAACTTTTGAACAGAGATTTCTAAGCACATTCATTCATTCATTCATTCATTTTCTTTTCGGCTTAGTCCCTTAGTCTGGGATCGCCACAGTGGAATGAACCACCATCTTAACCAATATATGTTTTACGCAGCGGATTCAATTCCAGCTGCAACCCAGTTCAAAACACAATCATGAGAAAGTTTACATAACAATGATGTAATAAAAATGCAAATGTTTGTGCATACCATTGATAAATTAATACCCTTTCACAGGGATCCAGGAAAATAACTAAAGGTGCTGTATTACAACAAACAGGCCAGTAGCTGGCAATGCCACTTCATACAGAACCACAATGTATCTGTGCACATATGATTCTGTAATCCAATGATCATTTGATCTATTGTTGTTTTGGTTGTAAAGAACTTGCAAAATTCCGTTTACATAGGCGTGATGATACTATGTTCTTAAGTTTGCATTTTCATTTTCAGAGGTCCTTTTATTGGTGTTTTATTTTTGAGAAAATATATTTTATAAGATAAAAACTGATTTTTTAACATTTATTTATTTATTTATTTATTTATTTATTTATTTATTTATTTATTTATTTATTTATGTGTATTATTATTATTATTTATAATTTTTTAAAACATTTTTTTCATACTAGAAAAAAATTGGTGGAAACAATTTTCATATTGCAAGTAATTAAAAAAATAATAATTACAGCAATAACAAAAATTCAAGCAATATTTTTTGCTTGTTTCCACTGCACACCGCTCATCTCACATCAATCAGTATAACTCAAAAATATGAATTATTCAGATCTTAAAATGAAGTTCTTATTGCCAAAGTATACAATAACAATACATGGCATTGTGAGTGTTGTTTATTCATTCATTTATTTATTTGTCTTTGGTTTTCAGTCTGAGCAAAAGCCCTTACATCTTTCTCGCTGCTGGCCCTGAAATGCTGATTCTCTCACTATTACACCCAGCTTCAACACAGATTAGAAAGATCTAGCAAAGATGCCACCTGTCTCTCCTCCTGTCTGTCTTCTTAACAGTGAAACAGTCATATGTGAAAGATCTGGGACCTGCTTTTGAAATGGCAATTAAATAAGAAGCACAGTACATGGTGTATGCTGCCAGCTGTGACATACAGAGGCCAGTGCAGGGGCAAAATGTATTACAGTATATTGGATGTGTAACTGGCAGACTCAAGCATCTTATCAAAAGCATCACAATCAACTCACAATTACACAAAAATTCTAAATTTTGTACTACAAACAAACACACATGCCCACTGCGAGAACAGAAATACAATAAAATCACATGAATGCAAGCAATGAAGTAGCAAGCAGAAACATGTTCTTACCGATACAGCGAGTGCCATTCAGTCTCTTATAGCCTTGAGGACATTCAATCAAAGGAATCGCTTTGGAGGAAAGAGAGAGAAAGAGGAGGAAGACAAAAATAACAGCACATTTAGATACAGCTCAACATTCTCAAAAACATTCTCTTCTAGCATATTCATGAAAAACATTTGTATAGTTAAAACACATTAAATTAAAGTACTGATCAAGGTGCTAACATTTCAAACTAAAATTCTTGTAAACTGCAAAATCAGCAGTCTTAACTGGACACTTGATCCTAAAGACTACAGGATAGTCAAGGCCTTGTAAGAGATGCTATAGTGAAAACCAAAACAGGTACACTGTTTATAGACCCATCCATAAACTTTGCCTGTTGGCTGAAAAATCTAATAAGTAGGCAACAAAGACTGATTGAAAAGTCTATAATGTGAAAATGTCAATTAATAAGAAGGGGAAAATTAAATGTTTACCTTTATTATGAACTACTTTATTTTTTTAGTTTAGAATTATTATTCTTGTTTTCCTTTACAATGTAAATTGATGTAAATTGTAACTTGTGGAATTATATTTTGCCTTCTTAAATTTTGGAAATATTGTTATGATTGTGAAATCCCCAATCAGGGGCCGGATATCCTGAGTTATTATTTATATATTTTATATATTATTTAATTTATTTAATTTTGTTTTATTTGGTATGTTATTTTAGCCTGATCTCACGAGAAAACGTAAGTATTTTACGTTTTGCCAGTTTAGTGGCTAATTCGTACAAGGTCGTACGAGTTCAGTCGTACGAAATGGTACGATTTTAAAAAGGAGGCGTGGCACCTGACCCCACCCCTAACCCCAACCGTCATTGGGGGATAAGCAAATCGTACTAAATTGTACGAATTAGATCGTACGAATTCATACGAATTAGCCACTAAATAAAAAAGTTACAAATTGCCGTGAGATTGTGTTGGTTATTTGCCAGCTGTTGTGCTGCCACCTATGGGGCATACTAGTCACTGCACTGTGGGAGAGTCAATATCAGCTGAACCTAATCAGCAAGAAGCATATCAGTGGGCAGAGACGCAGTTTTTAAACGCTCCTTTGGAGGACATTGACAAAACATTGTAAGTTGTTTGTTCTGATACATGTTTTGAAAGCAAGAATAAAAAATGTATTAAAATTCAAGCAAGTGTCCTGCATCTAAAAACATTACCTGCTGGGGACAGCGAAATCAGCAAGGAATTTGCTGTAACAATAAGTAATTAATACCCACTGTTACCCTCCCACCAGTATAAACATACAGTTATACTAAAATAATACAAAAACAAAATATTATGTATGAGTTCATGCAAGTTATAAATAAGTTAGAAACCCTTGCTTTTTTATTATTACTAGTTATTATTATTAAATATATGCATATATTATTCATTTATTAAGTAAATTAAAGTTACAACAGGTTAACTAATTTTTAAGCAAATTAGCGAATCATTTTTTCTACATAAAGTTTGACATTGTACATGTATTCATAAAGACTTATCATTGTTTTCTAATAATATTTATTATTATTTTATTAGTATATTTAGTATTATTACTAATTATTAATGAAGTGGAAGTGGAGTTAGTGAGGACAGTAGGACAGCTCAACATGTGGTCTGTGTGAGTTCTATTGCCCCATTAAACTGAAGGGGACGCTATACTGTCAGTGAGCATCTTCTTTCGAATGAGACGTTAAACTGAGGTCCTGACTCTCTTTAATGGTCATTAAAAATGCCATGGCACTTCTTGTAAAGAGCAGGGGTGAAACCCTAGTGTCCTGGCCAAGTTCCCTCCATTGGCCCTTATCTATTGTGGTCTCCTAATCATCCCCATCCACTGAATTGGCTCTATCACTGTCTTTCCACTCCACCTATAGCTGGAGTGTGGTGAGCGCACAGGCATTGTTGTCCTGTGGCTGTGGTCGCATCATCCAAGTGGATGCTGCACACTGGTGATGGAGTGGGGGCACCCCCTCTCATGATTGTGAAGCGCTTTGTGTGTATGGTCATACATAATAAAAGTGCTATATAAAAACACATTACTTACTTATTTATTAATATTATATTATACAGTGTTTGTGAAATATTCTTAAATTAAATAAGCACTGTTATTTTTTAAAGCTCAATAAAAAAAAATTATGATCTCAAACTTCGAGAAATTTCAAGAAGTGTATGTAATTTTGGCCCCGAGGCAGTGATAATAAATTAGTTATTTTACTGAAATTACACTGTAGTTATTTTACTTATATTGTAGTGACAATAACAAAGCCTACAATTAAGCAAAAGCCTTAATCAATTCACGCCAGAGATAAAATGGGGAACAAATGTGAACCTTTTAATATATCTGATCACATGTTGTGCAAGAACTCCCAGGATTCAGCGTGAATAGTGCTCTTTCTTGTTCTGCACTAAAACACAAACACATCTACAGATCGTTAATCACTATAAACAGCAACTATTTAAACACACCATTGTCTCTGAGCTCATAATCATCAGATTAAAAAAAGCACACAAAAACACTGCACATAGCTCTGTAGTGACTGTTTCAAGGATTGTCTCAGGGAGGCCTTGCGACTGGGAACGTGTAACGGGAACAGGGTTTACTTCCCTCTCATTCTCATGGGTAATGACTGTAATAAATTACATAAATAGAAGAAAGAGAGCAAGAGAGAGACAGACTGACTCATTTGGAAGAGAGCAGAAAGGCATTGGCACTTCCAGAGGTCATATTTTGAGCCTGCTTCAGAAATAAAAGGGGCTGAACTCCAGACTTGTTTACGTCTTCATTACCCCAACACTTGTGTTCAGTTACTGCCCTGCACTTCTATTTCCGTTCATTACCAGCTGATGTCCTGGGAAGTGCTGGCCTACAGCTGCTGCAAGCAGAGCTCAGAGACGGCGGTAATACCACAACTTCACACCTCTCAATGCCACACTGAATCGTAAAACCTCAAAATGAAATAAACGAAGACTTAACCCTTGTGCGGTCTTAGAATTATATTTATTTAAAAAAATAACCCATCTTCCCTAAACCTTTAATATAAAGCAGCAACATTTAATTTTAATCCTTAAAATGTTTATCTATAAATGGCATTGCTCATCACAAACTGTAAACGTCCACCCGCTTCGATTGTTATCACTCGGTTGAATGGGCATTTTCAGTGGTTATCAGCTGATAGATATGGGCCAGTAGGGGACTTATCTCAGAAGGCTGTTATCATCCATCCGCATGGTTAATCAGCCATAATAATAGAGAAGACTACAGATCCAGATTTGTTTTTACATTACTGTGACGGTTGGGTTTAGAATTTTGGTGGGCCTAGCTATTAATGAAATACAATTAATTGAAAAGGTATTAAATAAAATAAATAATTCTCTTTAACTTACGGCCGCAAGTATGTGATATATAGCTTATTTACCATGTGGATGGATGATAACAGCCTTCTGAGCCTACCAGTAGGTGCAGAAGGCCCCTACTGGCCCATATCTATAAGTTGATAACCACTGATAATGGCTATTCAATTGTGTGGTAACATTAGAATCAGCTGAAATGTCAAGGTTTTCCCACATCCGTGTAGAGTATTTCATCAATATTTATCAGTGGGCAGCACTAGTTTATTACAAATGTAAAGGTTTATGTTTTATTCTGCTAAAAGTATAGGTGTAAAATGTTTTTTTTTTTTGCTTGACAGTATTCCTAAAAGGTAAATCAGCAGGTTATTATTGTGTGTGTTTGGGTGTTTGTTGGAGTGTGCCTGTAGTTATGTGGTGAAAAAAGAATTTTAAATCTGGCGGGTAAAAATTAAACCCTAAGACAATTGTTGTACCCTATATTTGTACAACCTTCAGTGTAATATAAAAATTCTTAGTATTTTTCTAATGATTTAGTAAAAGTTGTCAAGTTGTTTGGTTGTGTGTATATATATGAGAAAAATGTCATGAGTAGCAGTGCGTTATGGCTGTATATCGGCACTGGTGGGAGACGTGCGCTGGACGTGTGCCTTAGTGGCCCACCAGTGACAATATACAGCCATATCGCACTGCTACAAAAGTTCAACAGCATAATCAAGTATAAAAAAGAAAATCCAACACGGAGAGTCTAAACATCCTTTTGTATGAGGAACTACTGTCTTCAGAAACCATTAGTAATTCACCAACGTCACGATATCACAATAATTAACCCCGAAAAAGCCAAAGCAATGCAATCACTACCAGATTACTGTTGTGTTTGTGATAAGAAAAAACACTCAGGGTTACACAAAGAGCGGACAACACAAAATACATAAATTCCTGATGATATGCGAGTCCTATCTCACACTCATTACACCACAATTACTATGATATAAATACAGCACAACAACATACAAAAGAGAGAGATCGACTTAGAATGTCACTTACTAATTTTATAATGGTTTGATGAGCTGTAGTTAGAAAATATGCCTTTTCTCCTCTAAAGGCTTATTATGCGGTCTCTGTTGCCATCTTGTGGATGGACGATGTCAACCATCTTTGCTCTGCTCAATGACAGGCAGATGGATGCTGACACACTTTATCTTAGAAATGATAAATATTTAAAATAGGCACAACTACGTTCTCGTCTAAAAAAGCCTCAAAAGTGCATTATGTAGTCCAACAGTTGCAATATTTGACAAATTGTAGTGAGTTTATTGATCTGCTGTCACTTTCTGTGGGCGGAGTAATACACATGGGTGAGGAGGCTGTAGGAGTCCTGTTATTACGGGAACATGGCACAGCTTTCAGTCAATCATTTTCAAGAAACAGGTAGCACAACAACTGCGTATTTATATATATATTTTTTGTATTTTGCTAAAATGGTGCACAGGTCACCCCTACAGTAGAGTTAAATATATATTATTTTAATGTGTGAGGTGAACAAAGCACACTTTTCTTTGTAAAAGAACAACATTTTTATTGCCATTTAAAGATTAAAACAAAGCTTACAAATTTCAGAGACTCATGAAGGTTTGTTATTGGTGACGTCCATACGGTTTAAATCAGCCATATGTCTGGGAATGCACAGAATGCAGGGGTGCCCATATATGGAAAGAGAATTTCAAAAACATCTACAGACATTCTCTGAAATGAAAGCGAGCAAGAGCGAGAGAGAGAATTGGAGTGGTCTGTTAACAGTTTTCCGTAGGGATTGACTTCAGCGAAGTGACTAAGCATGGAGGAATCATGAGTAAATGTGTATATGCACCATTACTAAAGAGTGGAGTGTGTGCCAGGTGAGTCAGCATGTCAGTAAGTTCAACACAGAGTGTGCGTAACCAGATACCTAACAGCTTTCTCTTTCCTTTGCCCACTCATTACGCACTTGCCTTTTCTCTGTGGAATGCATCCCTTCCCTCTCATTCTCAATATTAGGACCATGTGTCCGTTGAGTCACAGCCACAAAACAGAAGTTAAAATGAGAAAGAGAGAGAGAGAGAGAGAGAGAGAGAGAGAGAAAGAGAGAGAAATGAATGGCTGTGAGGGTGATACAGGTGTTTGTGCTCATTAAAATGAGGCATATGATTGCCTACATGAAGGAGAGACAGGTGTCTTTGTTTCTAAAAAGTGAAGTAGATGAATGTCTTTGAGAGTGAGACAGATGGTTTGGAATGTGATGGTGAGAGGTATTCCAGGTGAAGTTGAGACATATTTTTGTTTGTGAAAGAAAGGCAGATGTTTGACTCTGAAAGTAACTTCTGGTTGAGCTTTTGTCCATATCGATTAAAGCAGTGTCAAGAATACAACTTAACCAAAGAAATTTGTCGAACTAGTTTCTTAAAGCATTTTTTTTAGGTTGTTTGGGTATACGACACATTTATGAAAACTAAGCATGTATTAGGGTGAGACGGGTGTTTGTGATGTAGATCTTCCTCAATGTGTGAGTGAGCAAAGTTCTTTGTTGAAGAAAGCAAATCTGACATTTTTTCATGAGGGTGAGGATGTTTTAGTTTTACAAAAATAAGATGTTTGTCTTTGTGTGAGTGAGACAGGTATTTTATTTGCATAAGCAAGCTATATATTGTGCAGGTATGTTTATATCTGGTCACCTGTTTTTTTTTCACATCGTTAAATGAGCAGGTGTAAATTCCCTCTGAAATGCATTAGAGATTGATATACAGTTGAAGTCAGAATTATTAGAATTTTTTTTTTTATTTATTTATTTATTTTTTTTTATCTGTGACAGAGCAAGGTCATTTTCACAGTATGTCTGATAATATTTTTTTCTTTTGGTGAAAGTCCTGTTTGTTTTATTTTGGCTAGAATTTTAATTTTAGAATAGAATAGAATTTTAAGGTCAAAATTATTAGCCCCTTTCAGCTATTTTTTATTCCCGATAGTCTACAGAACGAACCATCGATATACAACGATTTGCCTAATTACCCTAAACTGCCTATAATGTACATAGGCTTATACAGTAATTCAGGGGGGTTAATAATTCAGAATTCAACCGTATATACTGTATATCTGATGGCTTTAACTACTTCAGGAGGTGGTCCGGGGCACATTCCAGACAAAACTGGACAGGTCTAAATGCCTCTGGCTGTTAAACCAAAATATGAAAAATGTTCTTCTTACGGATCTGAAAAAATAAACATGTGAGAGAGCCCTTTTCATGGGTTATATGCCCATCAGATAAAACATTGCAAATGCATTAAGTGACAGGATTCATTTCATTTACTTTTTTCATTTTATTATTGACCATGAAAATGATAACATTAGAATGTTAAATTAATATCAAAGGGCAGCATTAAGATTGATCCCCAGATCGAAATTTATTCCCAAAAACCCTTTAAGTTTTCAATGATGCCATGCATGAAATAGATGTGTCATTTAGCATGTAATGTCAGTAATTGAGGAGTCTGTCCTAGCCTACATATGAACTTATTTGTATGCCAGATAAGATATACAGCTTAAGTAATAATAAGAATAAAATAAATAAATGCATGTATCTAACGCTTTACTCAACGTAACCCAGAAGTAGTTAAATTTTCATATCCTGTAGTGCGTTTGAAGATCAGCTTTATATCCATTTAGGGGAGACACATTCATGTTGCCAAATGTAAAAGAAGTCATTACGGTGCCCAGGTGTAAACAGGCCCTGTGTGACATTGAGATAGATTTGTTTTTTGAAGAAGCAAGGCAGATGTTTTTCTATGTAAAAAAGAAACATAAGTTTGTAATTTGAAAGTGAGCACGATGTTTGTCTGAGAATGAGGGTTTTTGCTTTTGGAACTCATAGCTTGTTAGTGACACTCGTAGCTTGTTAATCAGGGTTGTAAGTGCTTAACCTAAGCTGGATTGTTTTTGCTCTGCATGTAAATATATTAACTTTTGAAGTTTTTAAGCAAACACATTTTAAGGGCACCTATTTTAACCCTTTTTTTAAAGATTTAAGATGAGCCTTTTGGGTCTCCAGAATGTGTCTGTAAAGTTTAAACTCAAAACAACCATCAGATTATTTATTATACCTTTCAGAATATTGGAATTTACTGCTCTGAACACAATGTAGCTGTTTTTGTGGCCTGTGCCTTTAATGCTAGTTCTCCCTGCCAACCATTTCCACACGCCTATCGGACTGTGCCTCAATCTCCGCCTTGGCTGTGACAGATAAATAGCACAGTGACAGACATAAAGGAAGCAGATCTCATGTATCATTTGTAGGAAATACTACAGGAAGAACTTTCCTAATGATTATTTGATTCTTTTGTTGTTAATTCAAGCCTTTCTGCAGCAATGAGTCACAATGTCATTACGTTCATGCACAAAACTGATTCTTAATCACATTTAATGATTCATGATCACAGATCGTTTAATCCTAGTTGCTTTGCAAATGCCCCGTCTTGTTGATATGATTATATGCAATACTACAGAGACATGTTTATACACAGCTGTCAATCAAACTGGTGGGCGGAGAAACCTCACTCGTACGTCACGTTGTGGTGGGCCTCAAAATGGGAGGGATTTGGATTCTATTTTAACGTCAGGAAAGTTAAAAGAGACTTATTGTCTTTATATCACCCCAAAATGAGTGTGGGCGCACTATACCTACACACAGTTCTGTCCAAACAGCTTCCAAATGATGACTTTCTTCATAGGTGTCCTTTGACTTACAATTAGAAACACCCTTAAAAGAAAACAGCACTGTCCCACTTGATATCAAGTGTACTTACTTATCATGTACTTGCATCAAAACATAAATATAATTTACTTAATGTGTTCCTAATATGTTGCAGAACTTCGATGGTGCTACTGAGGTGGGGTATGGGTAACATTAGGAACACTTTTGGTGGTATGGGTTGGTTTTAGTGTGGGTTAAGGTGTAAAGGATGTTCAATGACGTAATAACAAATGTGATAACAGCAGTTAATTACAGATGTACTGTATCTACGGGTGTTTTATCAAGTATGAGTTGAATGTAAAAGCATATATTTACACAATAAGCACATTTTTAATTTCAGTGTAAGTACATTTAAGATCACTTAATATAAAGTGGGAGCCTTTTTAATGTTCAAGGTATAAGATGGAATGATTTTCACAGTGTAATTCTGATTACTCTTGTGCACTTTTAAAAAAGGCTAATATTTACTTAAACCTTTGAGTATTATTTAGAACAAATACTTCTACTCTACTTGTACGACAATTTTTTGGCAAGTATTCATACTTTTACTTTAGTACAATTTTTCAGCTCTCTTTTCACTATTGTTGTTTTTGATTGTGAGACCAGTGATGGTTCGCTTAAGTGAGACAGATGTCTTTGCATGTGACAGTGAGACAGGAGATTTTGTTCATGAGAGTGCATCAACAGCAGCTTACATGGTTTCTTGGGGCATTTTTGGCATTTGTGGAATCCCCATGATGTGCCCACCGTCCCACAACAGGCATCCTGTTTAGATAGTCCAGGCAGAGCTTTCCCACACTGCAAAATAAAACACAATCAAATGAAATGCAGGAAGTTAATGAATAAAATGAAGAAAGAGACAGAGATACTCATCTCGCCCATTCAAGCCACACATATATAATTCTGCTCACACACAGCTCTTGATCCCAGTTCTTTCTGATCAACACTCTTGATATCTCTCCCCGGACTGAATCTAATCAGCTGAACCAGGCCCGAACTGAACAACAATCTAAGAGACACAACTCAAACAACCTGATAACACTCTCCTCTCTGCTGACATGAAAAGACAAAGTCACAAATTAAGTGTAAATGGTTGCACAAATAGGCACAGCACTTTACAATGAGACAGAGAGAGAGAGAGAGAGAGTAAACAAACAAGACTGAGGTGCACTTGATGATAATAACTTGATAGACTATCAGCTATAGTAGTGGAATTCAATTGCATGTTCTTTTAAGCTGGAGGCAGATACTAAGTCAAAACTTTTTTGAGAATTATTCTGTTCCATTTAATCTGCGGTTCTCTATTCAAGAGACAGACGTTCCCTAGAGTCTCACAATGTTCTGGAGAGAGTCTCATCTCACTATTTATTTGGTCTTTTGCTCTACTTCTTGATCATCTAATGATAGCTGGAATTGAGTTAGTTTAAAAGACTTTAAAAGCAAGAGACAGAGAGAAATAGTAAAAAACTCACAGCAGTGGTGAGAGCAACAGAGACAGAGAAGATATATTTTTAAAGAATGTTTTGTTACAGAAGTAAAAGTCAATAACACTAAAGCCCATTGACTTAATTTTTGGACCAAATTACATGGGATATATACATTTTAATGAAACAAAAAATATAAATATTAAAGACAAAACAGAAAACAGATGGAGAAACAGATGCAGATGAGTAAATGAGCGAATTTTGTTGTAGTTTGAAAATGAGGCAAAGTTTTATTATATAATCAATCCTTTAAATTGACTTATAAGCATTTCTCATCTAGCCCACCCTCTTCTACTCACACTTTCTTGACAGGGATTTGAACAGATGTCTTCAGCATGGGAGGCGGATGTATTAAAAGGAACAATAAAAATCATAGCCTCTAGCACCAGTTGCTAGTATGCATAGGTTAACCAAGCACTCCTGACAGCTGATCTTAGTTATAATCACCCCTCTAAATCTCATTGCCATCCAGGTCACGGCACCAATATAAACCTTCTGATTTTACTTCCACCACTCCAAGTGGCATTTGAAAGTAGGGCGAAAAGTTGAAATAAATTTTAAAATGTAATTGATCAAAGCTATGATTGTCATATACTTTATCTCGTCAGGGTAGAGTGTCACAAAAAGTCCAAATACCCATAGAAACAAAATGAAACTCAATAAATCCAAGATTTAACTGCTTCCACTGGTTTACTGTACCTAATACACATGACTACAGAATCATTTCACATACGAGTTTATTTCAAACACAAAACTGAAGTTATGAGGTTTTGATTTTAGAATAAAACTACATTATTATGTGTGGTAGTTTCTGTGGTAATTGCAATTATCTTGTAATTACTGACTGATTATCAAATTTAAAATGATATTTGCATAGCTTATCAGTGAACTCCGTTTAGTAAACGCTGTTCCATCTAAATGCACATGCTGGATGCACATCCATCCCTTTAGCATCAATTGCTATCGCACATTTTGAGGACAGGGAAGTAATATTTGCTCACATGCCTTAGCTAGCTGTCCTCCATCCCTCACCCCACTAAACATTTTTCCTATCCAGGTTGAATTACAAAGCCAATATGATTCCAATGGTTCTACTTCTACCACATAGAATGATGGTCTCCTGCAGCTTCTATCCTCCAGCAATCTTCACTAGTTTGCCTTTTGAGGCCAGGGGAGTAAGATCACTCTAACAAGTCATACTAATAGCTATCCTCTGTCGCTTTTTCTCTAACCCTCAGTCCAATCTGACCTATAGATTCATTGTAACATCATCGCTTGTCCTCACATTACTCTGAACAGGAATCAAATCAGCCTCCTCATCCTTGGCATGGTAATAAGTCTGTTAAAGAAACAAGGTTTGAACCTTAAACCTATTATCAAACTCATTGACTTTACTCTGCTGTTGTGCTTATGTCCTGTATAAAAGTAAAACGTTAAAATAATAACTATATTAAATGGTTTTTGCTTGAATATTATTTTGAATGCCTTTAATAACGACAGTGACCACAATGGATAATTTACCTCAGATTTTGGAAAAAAACAAAAAAACAAAAGCAGAGGTTCTCACTGTTAGTGTGGCTTAAAATGCTACCTCTTCCATATTTGATGGCTCAATAGCACTTTTTCAAATATTACATTTAGCTTTTCTGTCATTTACTGTTTAACACCCTGTCCTTGAAGTGGTCAATGTGAAGTCATATATATATTTACTAACATAGACAAACAATGAACAATACATTTATTACAGTACTTCTTTATGTATGTTAACAATAGTTAATAAAAATAAAGTAATTCATTGTTAGTTCATGTTAACTCGCAAAGCATTAACTAATGTTTTAGTTAATATGCATGTATTAATGCATGAATATAGATGTTATCAATGCATTTATAAATGTTGAACTTTGTTTACTATGATTAATAATAAATAAGATTAATAAATGCTATAAAAGTCTTTTTTATAATTAGGTCATGTTAGTAAATACATTAACTATTGAAACCGTATTGCAGAGTGTGACTGAAAATTTTAAAGTGACAAACAAAAATCCCTGTCATTCCATTACTACGACAAAAATAAATAAAAATTTCCTGATTTTCAATGTCTGACAAAAATCCTTTATCATTCAACGATTTTCCAGACAGTCCATAACCCGTGTGAACCCTAAAGACAGCATCAAGCTTCATTTGCTAGTGCGCCTGTTGAGGAGGGGGAGTGCGGTTTACTCGCATTGCTCTTACTAGCTGGTCTCTGTTACACTTATAAAAATCTTCTGACCTGCATTCCGGTAGTCTCCTGGAAGCAGCGTCCTAGTTGGCTCTTGGATGTGACAGGCTGGTATTGGAGGTATGTTTGCTGGTTGGGGTAAATGACACCACTGTGAGTGTGCCCATGCTGGATGCTCTGGCTGCTGCTGTGGTAGGTGAAGGAATGGCTGGACTGCGTGTTCTTCACTTGTCCATTACTGTCCACTGGAGACACCTGATGAATCTGGACCGAGGCTTCAGGAGGATGTTTCACATGGACATTCACCATACCTGTTGAAAAGTTATGCTTTAAGGACTGTTCAGTAAAGGTTCAGTACAGTAAAGGTTCAAAACAACATACTGCAAGTGGTAAAAATCAAGGCAAATGTGAACCATGTGCAAAGAAAGAACACAAGTTTATGATTTTATAAAAGCCCTTGCATTCATTTATCAGATATAAACTGTGTATTATTTGAGAGGTAAAGCTGTTTAATAAAAGTATAGTCATTTTACTCAAATCTACAGTAAATATACAGAAAAGACCAATTTTGTTCCACATTTTTGACATCACTCCATACATTACACTGTAAAAAATTGCTGTTAAAAAACGGTCAGATTCTACGATAAAATAATGTTTTTTCACTAAAACAGTAATATTCTGTTAAAAACAGTGCTTTCTGGGTATCATTTTTGTTTTCGAGAAAGTAACCAACTGCAGAAAACTGTGAGCTAACAGAGTTCAGATTCGATGTTTTGAAGTCTGTGTTTGAAATCACGCTTTGTGTCCTTGTTCACTATTTCATACACTAGTTAACTAATATAGTTCACCTGACAGTTTTAATGAACACTAATGAGTGAATTCAGACACTGATGAACACCTGCTGTTAATAATTACAATTACTGAAGAAAATAAACAAGAAACACAAACAGTGACTTGAGTTACAACATTAAATAAAATAAAATAAAATAAAATAAAACACCTTCAGTCTCAGCAGAGGATCATTAAACAACCCCACAAACAACAGCAGACACACTTATTACTGACTGATTTGACGTCCATACAATTCTCATTGAGATCCAACAGAAATTAAGGTGTTTTTTGTGTCACCGTAATGGAGTGAGGGGCTGATTTAGTTGGGTTCTTCACCCTTGAACTCATTTAAGAAGACTTTCCAACTGCTGTAATACAGAGTTTACAAAACGTTTGTACTATAGCAATAAAGTTGGGAAGTCAATAAATGAAGAAATCTATTTATCTGAAATTAGTTCTGATAAATGTTTTGGTATAAATCTGGATGAAGGGCCTCATGCAATAGATTTTATGCTTAGTTGCAGGTATTAATTTAATTAATGAGAAGTGGAAACAGAAAAGATACCTCTGAAATTACTTAACAGTTAAGAAATAACATACAAAAACAGTTCAGTTATGACAAATACACACCCAGACCTCATGAATCTGACCTTGTATCTCAACAATGGTAACATCTCAAATGTTTCATGCTGCAATGCATGCTGGGAGTGGCACTGTACAAATATCCCAGCATGCATTGCGGTATAAATAAATGTTGTATAATGGTCTAACGGTTTTCTTTATTTGTGTTTGATTCTGCTGTTGTTTATGTTTAGACTTTCAGTTGCCTGTTTGTGAGTTAAACTGTTAATTTTGTTAAATTTGTTGTCACCATTATTGAGGTTCATATTCTGATTATTGATGTCTCTTTGAGTGCGATTTACACCATAGAGCAGTGTTATTGTCCAAGATATTCTTAAAAACTTCCAGAAATCATTGCAATATATATACATATAATGTAAAACAATAGATTTAACATTGAATAGGAGCAGTACATTTTATAATACTAAATGAGAACAGACTCTGCCATTTAATAGCAATATGAACATCACCAGATCTTATTTAGGTTTTTGGCTGGCTTGCCTCAACAAAGGAGCTTTTTAAACAAAGTTCTTAACAATTGCAGCAGCCAAGATAAATAAATGTTAAAAATGACAGGGCTGAGAGCCCAACTAAAGCAAACTCTGTTCTCCATGATGGTGACGTAAAACTTTAACTTTTTCTCAAGAAGAACTTTAGTAGATGTTATACAAAAATACATGTATTAAGTAATAAGCGTAGCTGGTGATGATGTTTGTAGAGTTGTTTAATCATCTGCTGATCATTTAAATGATTTAATCATTTGTTGTTCTTCAGGTTATTTCATTATAAAGCTGTGACTAAAGTTTTGTATGTTCTGTTCTTGTTTTTTCCCTTCACTATTTCTTCATTTGTTCATTGTTAATCCTCAATTATCATTTAATTAGTCAGTTAATTAATGAATTTACTTCAGCTTTGCTCCATGTTTCTTGAACACTCAGTAGTGTGGACACTTCAATTAAAACTGAAGTATAGGCTCTGGGGTTTAAAGGGTTAAAGGTGTGAGAGGTAAAAACGCAGTGTAAAAATGTATTTTAACAGTAATATACTGTTAATTTACACAACGGAAGTAGACTGTAAAAAAACAGTATATTGCTGGCAACCACAGCTGCCAGTAGATTACTGTTAAATCAAGGAAAAAACAGTATTTTACTGTAAAACCTGAAGCTAATTTCCTCTGTCTGTCACCGTTGTGGAGGACAGTAGAGCTAGTGTATGAGTTAAAGATGAACAATGAACTGCTGATGTTATTCTGTATGTTTCTCTATTTAAAGATAGCGGCTGTTTAGTGGCTGATGCAGTCAGAATCTCTCTGGTGATTCCAGATTTACATGTATGTGTGCTGTTGTGAAAAATAAGACATTAGAGTTAAACCGAACTTTTCTAATTAACTAAAATAAGTTATCATTATAAGTATGCTTCTAAGCATATATAGCACATTACTTCATAAACTCATTCAGCAGTTGACCAAGTTGAGGCAGTTGCTTTCAGTGAGCAAAATGAGTTCACTTGAGTATTGTGTAAATCAATGTAGTCCATGTATTTTTACAGCAACATACTGTAAAATAACAGTACATTGCTGGCAACTGCAGCTGCCAGTATTTTACTGTTTTTTAACGGGACAATTTTTAACAGTGCATTTTCAACCTTCATTTCTTAGCAAAAAACATTCATTTTGCTTTGGCTTTACAACAATTCTGTAAATGTCCATGAGTGGCCCAGCCAGAGCCCAGACCTAAATCCTATTGAACATCTCTGGAGAGATCTGAAAATGGCCGTCAGCCTTTCCATTCAACCTAATAGAGCTTGAGAGGTACTGCAAAGAGGAATGGGGAAAAAATCCCATGGTGACAAGCTTGTGGCATCATATTCAATTGTAATTGTTGGCTATAATTGCTGTGCAACGTGCATCAACAAAGTATTGAGCAAAGGCTGTGAATACTTGTGTACATGTGATTTTTCAGGTCTTTCATTTTTAATAAATTTCAAAAAATCTTTTTTCACATTGTCATTATGGGGTATTGTGTTTAGAATTTTGAGGAATAAATGGATTTAATTTTCCCAGAGATGGGTTGCAGCTGGAAGGGCATCCGCTGCATAAAAATGTGGAGGATAAGTTGGCTGTTCATTTCGCTTTGGGACCCCAGATTAATAAAACGACTAAGCCGACAAGAAAATGAATGAACGAATAAATGGATTTAATGCATTTTGGTATAAGGCTGCAACATAAAAAATGTGGATAAAGTGAAGCGCTATGAATACTTTCCAGATGCACTGTTTATATATTGTAAACCCCCCCCCCCCCCCCCCCCCCCCCCCTCCAATAAAAAAAGCTTTATTTCTCAGCTCTTGTGTGGGTTACTTTGAAGCTGCCCAAATAATAATGGGAGTAATAATAAAATATTTAAAATAACAAGAAACTTAACTCAGAACTTAATTTCTCTTCATCTGAAAAAGAAATAAAATCACATACATTTTTTTGTTTGTTTTTTTAATAAAACTATACACTGTAAAACCCGATAAGTTATGTTAACTTAAATTAATTAGGTCAAAATAACAATATAGCTACACATATGGTTTGGCATTGCTTCAAGCATTAAAGTTAAATCCATTTATAACTCATGCGATTAGAGTTCTGCTTAATATAATCAGTTTATGAGATACCATACCTCTTTTTCACTGAGTCAAAATAACTTTTAAAAATATATAAGTTAAACTATCTTATTTTATTTAATGACTTTCACTGTTCTCTGTTTTACAGTGTAGATACAGTTAGTGATTTTGTGTGTGCTTGTGTGTGTGTGTGTGTGTGTGTGTGTGTGTGTGTGTGTGTGTGTGTGTGTTAATGTAGAGTCATGTATTTCTAACACAAGCCAGAATTAAACATTAGTTAAATAAAATCCAATCCTTTACCTTGGTTTTGTCCAGTGCCATAAGTGAGGGGTAACGTGTGTGTTGAGTGGACATGTGTCTTCTGCCCATTTACAACAGTATGCTGCCCCTGGTGACCATTTGGACTCGCCATTTGGCAGAATTTTCCAGTAAAGTTTGGCGGGCACTGGCACTTATCCCGAGCGCTGCATTTTCCACCATTCATGCAGGGCAAATGGCAAACAACTAAAACACAAACACAAAGAGAGCAGAGTGTGAATAACCACAGAATAACATTTTCAGTGTTTGGTTTGTTCACGTTTAAAAGACTGACAAACATATACACAGATGAACCAACAATATTATCATCAAAGTTTGGTTTTGTTCTGTGTTTGAGCAAGTGTTTGCTTGTGGGCTGTTGTGTGTGTTTGTATATGTGCTTAAGCGCTCCACAGAAAATCTGTTTAAGAACTTTTGTTGTGGGGTGTAATGGGAGCTCTATGTGATGTATTTCCACTAAATCATGCCACTTTAGTGACAGACCATGAAACATCTTCAACTTTCTCTCTGCCCTGCTTCATTTTAGCCATTTTTCTTCAAAATCTCACTTGAGCTTTTATATCACATTGGGCTCAGTAATAATACTAGCAAAATGATGAATGGATTTAATTATCCCACAACTGAGGTAAATAAACCTTTTGGGGCTTGATATTTTACAGCAATATGTTTGTGTTGTGGTATAGGATATTAATTTGAACATTTAAATGAGGTTCACCTCATTCTCCTGTCATATTATTTAGAAATGCTCCCAAACCAAAAGCCACATAATATAATTACCCATCATGAACTCATTACTAATGCTCATTAAAACAGCAAGGGTGTCCTAACCACCACTCCCACACAGCACAACATGATGTCATTTCCTGTCAAACTGCATATACCTCCTGTGGTCAGAATGTGCCAGCAGATACTGTTATTTAATATTGAAGGGAAGACGGCAAATTAATATAAATTTTTACACTCAAAACACATTTTTTGGAGCGATGCAGTAGGTAGTGCTGTTACCTCACAGCAAGAAGGTTGCCGGTTCGAGCCTCGGCTGGGTCAATTTGCCGTTTCTGTGTGGAGTTAGAATGTTCTCTCTACGTTTCATGGGTTTCCTCGGGGTGCTCTTGTTTCCCCCACAGTCTAAAGATGAAGTACAGGTGAATTGGGTAAGCTAAATTGTCCGTAGTGTATGAGTGTGAATGAGTATGTATGGTTGTATCCCAGAGATGGGTTGCAGCTGGAAGGGCATCAAACATGTGCTGGATAATTTGGCGATTCTCTCCACTGTGGCGACCACAGATTAATAAAGGGACTAAGCCCAAAAGAAAATGATTGAATGAATGACACATTTTTTGAGATGTTGACAGTCATATACAGTTAAAGTCAGAATTATTACACAACTTTCGTGTGGACCCAAGCAGTTGGATTATGGTGGTCTGCAAACTTGATCAAAACATGTTTGTAAGGAACATTTTTCACCCAAGAGCTTTTTGAATCTGTTGAAATCTGATTTTGCCACTCGTCTTCTTTTAAAAAAAGACGTGGCTCCAGTTGGTGTTGATTGTCTGTCTCTATAGATTAGGTAAGTGTGTGAAGAGTGTTTTTTGTTTATGTTTATTCAGATGGCAAAGTTGGTTAGTAATGTCAGCAGTACTCTTTTAGTTTTTGAAGACAGTACCTTAGTCGACATGCTTTAGTTACTAAGTTTACAGTAAAATCACTACAATATCATGGACTAAAAATCCTCCATTTTCACACAGCTCTCAGATCTGCTGTAAATGCTGCTCTCTGAATCGCTGTTCATCTCCCCTGCATCTGTGTTTGTATTCGCCGGTGTTAAAATCAGCTGTAGTGCATGTAATGAAACTCCCCTTTTCATGCAAACCCTTCCCTCTTTTGCAACTCGACACTCCCACCTAAACAAAGCTGGACACACCCACTTTACTGACTTTTTTCAAATAACAGGGGTGGGGGGTTCATGGCCTTTTAACTGTCCTTAAGCCAAACAAAACAATAACACCATAGTTTTATTATATAAATTTTCATATTTTATATATAAAGAATTATTTCATTCCTTTATACAAATCCTCAAATATCGACATTGGGAGTATTGTTATGCCTACTGTAACTAACTACCCAACCAGGCATAGCATCTCCCCTATACAGTAACTCATCCAACTCTCACACACACAAATATAGACACATATATTTTCTCAGATTTATTGGCATATTTATATAAATATTTACATGCACTCTGACAAACCATGATTTATACACAACACACACACATACACCTCCATTATTTCTGTTCTAGTGGGAAATCTACAGCTATTCCACAATGCCTACACACTCAACCTCAGGCAATATCTTGACATGCAATGTATCAACATTGAATCGCACACACACAAGCGCGTGCTTCCCATCCTGCCTAGCTAGTAAAGAGCTGACTGCATTGGACAAAAGGAAATGAAATGTGTCAGAAATGGTAAGACAACCGGCAGGAGAATGATGACAGACCACATGCTGACAGTCATTTACTTTCACTAACGTTTTGCATGCTTTATTTACTATTGAAGTAGCAATTAGATGTTTTTTACTGTCAGTTCTGGCTTTATATACAACAACGAGACAACTACAGAAGATTTCACACATAAGCAAGCACACAGACTCTCAGATGAGCTGACAACTTATGTGTAATGAAATACATAGAGGGACAGTCTTGAAGAGCTGTTTTCATACTTCTTGAATATTTCTAGTGTAATATATACAATTGCGTCTATGCAGAGCTAGTGCTTCTTCCCATACTAATAAACTTCCGGTAAACAGTTAATGTAACTTTTCCCATTTTATATGGCTCCTTTTACAGCATCGATGTTGTAATGTAATTACAATACAAACAGTTAAATATACTTTGGCATTCATTTAGTTGCTCAAGCATGAAAGAGACAAAAAGCTGTTTACTTGCACAGGCCCATCAGAATCGGCAGGCTAGCACAGAAGCTCCGTTGAATATACTGGGGTAAAATAAATGTTCAGATTTTAAAGACATGGCGGGAAAAAATGTAATTTAATGCAGTGCTTCTTGTACAAGTTGAGACCCACTTAAAATCGGATATCACTCAGCCAGTGGAGATCGGTGGTTTTTAAAGAAAACAGATTTAAATGAACCAATTTTGCATACAGTTCACCAGAAGCGCATAACCCAGGTTACGGACAAATTCAAAGCCCTTTAGCATTAATCGGCATATACCCTATTCCAACTATGTTACACAACACAACATCAAAAATGTAAACAAAATTTGTCAGTACTGAAATTTCTAAATTTGTGACTAAATCTATGGTGCATACTTGATTAACCACATTTTTCTTTCATGACTTATACATTTTTTATGAAAATACTGTTAAAAAACTAAATGAACGAATAGCATTTTTAAGCTGACTCAACTTAAAGCGAGTCAACTACAGCACTTGCACAGCAAAAAATACTTCCCTAACTTAGATTTGTTGTATTTTTGTAGTCTAAATATCAAACCATTCCTAAACCAAGAAGCATTTTCTAGACAAACAAAAATACTATATTTTTTTAAGAAATAATATTCCAAAACTAAGGGAGTTTTTCCTCAAAACAAGCAAAAACAAATATGCCAATGGGGTAGGCAAAACAATCTTCTTTTTCCTTTTGACATAATATTATTTATTTGCCATCTCCATTGACATATTATTTTGCTCTTTTAACTGTCTGCTCTACCAAATGTTTGACCATATTTTTACAGTTTTAAATAATGACTGTTAAATTAATTTGAAGAATGACAGCTTTAAAAAAAATGGTTTACACAGCATTGTTGGTTTTCAAAAAAAAAAAAAAAAAAATCAAACAAACATAATCACGTTGCACTCCTACACTTCATTGTGGCTTTATTGTAAAAAAGATAAACAAGAAAACATGTTAAATGAGAATCTGAAATATTTCATAGCATAATTCATAGAATAAAGATGATTTAGCATTCAAAAACTGTTTTTATATATATATATATATTTAAAAAAATAAATTCTTTAAAGTCTTACACTTCATATTTTCTGTTTTTTTTTTTTCATAGTATATGTATTGAATCCAGTACTTTTACCATAAACTGACATATCAACCATTTGGTAGAGGTTGATATTTTTAGAATTTATGGTGTGTGTTGAAAAAAAAAGTGTGTTAACTAGCGACAATAGGAGTTAAGAAATGCCATCCAGTTTTTTTTTTCTTGGTGGGGCTATTAAAAGGTTAAGTAAAAGTTGTATTTTTTTTTACAAATTATTTCTTAAAAGAAGACAATATGTTTTTGTTGTTTAGAAAAAATGCTTATTGATTTAGGTTTTTTTTTTTTATTTGACTAGAAACATGTAAGAAAGGCATTTTTAGAGTCTGGGTTAAAAGTTGAGTCAACTGAAAAAAGCTGTTCAGCATGTTGCCTTACAATTTTAAGTTGAGTCAACTTTGTATTTTTACAGTAGATATTTTGCTCACTCAAACTAATGAAATATGAAAAATTGCATTCGGTGAACTATTAGTTCACTGTCCCAAACAGCAGATGTACTCCTAGCACATTAGTATTTCTTCTTCTCAGCTCTAAACAATGGTGGTTGCTTGTGGTAACAGTGAAGTAGAAATGACTTTCAGTTTTCACAGTTAAGCAAAACTATTGAGCATAACTATGGTTTGTTTAAAAAAAAAATAGAATTGAATCGGATACAGATGCCAGATTTTTTTTTTTTTTTTTTTTTTTTTTTTGGGGGAAACAACTCTAAGACCTGGTAGCCAAAACTCTTTTACTCTACCACTGATACTTTTTTATTTAATTTTTTTTTTTCTGCTTGTTCGAACTACTTATATATATGTGTGTGTGTGTGTGTGTGTGTGTGTGTGTGTGTGTGTGTGTGTGTATATATATATATATATATATATATATATATATATATATATATATATATGTATATAATAAGCTGAATCAACACAATTCTATGTTTTTTTAGGATAACTTAATTGTTTTATGTTCAATCCTCGTAATTTTGTGAAAAACAATTCAGTTAACTTAATCGATTTGTGTTGAGACAACATGAATAGTGTAGAACCCAGCATTTTTTACAGAGTATAATTTTAGAGACATTATTTTAATGTTAAACTGTTACTGTAGTACACAGACCTTTTGCAT